AAAAAGTTGTATAAAAAATTATGTAATTAAAAATTGAATTGTGCAGGGATCCAAACCGAACCTGGAACCGCTAAAAACCGGTATTTTTTATCGAACCTAAACCGAACCTATACCTCTAAAAAAATTTCTAGCCGAACCTGAACCGAACTAATAAAATGCCTCTGAACCAGTTCGAGTCTCATAATTTTATGCTTATAAAATAATATGTAAGTTATTATTGCAAAAATTTTAATCACATTCAAATTGTTTTAGAAATTATTATCAATCACATTTGATTGATATAACAAATAATAGTAATATAATATACAGAATCATTAGACATAGGGATAGCAATTTCATTAAGGTATGATGCAGTTAATTTTATATACATATATAAAATAATACTGTTCCGAGATGTCAATTTTTAGATTCCTAAAATAAAAAACTATTTTATATTTTTGTCTTTTAATATTTTACATTTGTTGTCAATTTTAAAATTGACTCAGAATATTTGGTAATATCATCAATAATTTCTTTTAACCATATATATTGTTTGACATATAGTAGATCCTTATTTTCCAGCACCTTTTAATGTTACGATCAGAGTTTTTTTTGTAATATATTTATTGTATGGTTTAAGAAAAAATTGACAGATATTCCAAGAGAAATTGCAGAGATTATTAATAGTGTAATATTTTGAAGAATAAAATAAAGAATTAAATAATTTTGTAAAAATTGTCCACTTACTAATACTTCAATTACCATTAAATAATTCAAACTATTATAACATAGTGTTGTATATTTTCTCATAACTTCATAATTGTAGAATGTATGTTATTCACATAACTTATCATAACATGTTTGATGAAATGTATAACATTTTTGTTTAACTTATATATAATTTGACTATGATTGTAGTTAACCTCCTGTTATTTGATAACTTAAAATATCTTTTCTATAGTAATTTAATATCAATTTCTTAAATTTAATTTTATAATATGTAACTAAATAATATATCATTTGGAAAGGTGGCGGTTTGTTTAAAATTTAAATTAGGATGAATATTTCAGCATAGTACTTTAATGTGTATTCATGAATTTCATATAATGATATGTAAATCAGATATTTCCCCTTCATTTGATGATAATTTTTAAAAAATTTTTCAATTAATATATACATATATTAGACAGATTTAATTCATAAACCTCTTATATTTTTTCAGGATCCAAGGAAAAAAATAATTATTCTGAGTTTACCTGGGCTTGGGAGATATTTTTCTTGGACGTAGCTTGCTACACATTTTTCAAATTTTTTAATATGGGCTAGAAATTGGCCTGGAAATTTCTTTTGAAGACATGGCCAGGCCTGATCAAAAACCAAGGCCCATGCAACTTTCATATTCTGATTGTATTTTTAAATGCATTGTAACTTTTTATATATTTTATTTCAGTTCTCAACTACCAAAATTATTATGGTCTTTGGCAGGTTTAAGAAAATTTTCCCAAGTGCGTGGACCTGGCTTGGGAATTTTTTTAATATTAGGCATAGGTGTAATATTTAACACAGAATATTTATATGGCCCTCAGGTAAAAGCTAATTTAGTCTAAATGGGTTGGCCTTGGTCTGAAGTAGGGGTGAGCTGGGTTAAGATAGAATAAAAAATTGATATGGTTTTTAGAGATTTACCTATCTCCAGGTTTGGGAAAAAATTTTGAAAATTACTATGGGTTGGACAGGCTTGAGAAAATTTTTTATAAAATTATTATGAGTTGGACTGGGCTTGGAAAATATTTTTTATAAATTATATTGGGCTGGGCTTGGGGGAAATTATGAGCTTGGACGTTTGATAATTTTTTTATTATTAACTATGGGTCAGACATTGGCCTAAAACAAATTATTTTGCAGGCCTGGGCTCGGCCTGATCAAAAAACCAAGGCCCATGAAAATCTGATTTTTATTGTAGTTTGAAATTGATTTTGTTTATTTAAATGTTTTATTTCAGTTCTCAACTACCAAAATTATTATGATCTTTCATTCAGCTTAGATGAATTTTTCAAAATTATTATGACTTTGTACTTTACCTGGGAATTTTTTTTAATATTAAATATTATGTATAAATGATCAGTAAATTTAACATATTGGTATTATCAAGTAAAAGCTTTAAATTTATTCTTACTCAAACCATAGTATTTAGTCTTAGTTTTAATAGATTGAACCTGGCCTGAAGAGGGGAGGGGGTAAAAAGAATTAAATTTGATATAATTTTCAAATAACAGGTAACATCGCAAAAATATAAGAAGAAAATTCACATTCCCCGTCATTTTTGACGGGCTATCTACTAGTTTATTATAAAAGATAATGCGATATTCCATTTAATAATTATATAATTAGTAAATAATAGTAAATCAGCATCATAAATCAGCATTATTTTTTAATATTATTAATTTTTCAAATGATTTATCGTTCAATCTTTGACGATTTGGTCTATTAACCATATTATCAAAGCTAAATAATCTTTCAACGGGGGCTGAGGACGGTATATTGTGTTATATTTTATAAATATTTCTTTTATATATTTATAACTATTTAACATATTTATACTCAGCCTGTCATCTTTCATATAATTTAGGACCTCTATTTCAATATCATTTATTGAATTATTAGAATTGGATGTGGTACTTTTAAAGCAAAAGTAATCATCATCTATATCAATTGAAGATTTTGTTGAAGTATTAATTTCAATATTATTTTTAAAAACGATTAAAACTTCATGTAAAAACAAATCCTGAAGGTATTTTTTTTCTTTTTCACCATCAATCCAACGATTTTTAAAATATTGATAAGAAATAGTTGCCAAAAATGCACTTTTAAAATTGTTATCAAAATCATATATATTTTTAAATCTTTTATTTAAATAATTTTCTATGGCAATAACTAATGGTTTGCAAAATTGTGAATTGGTTTGAATTAAATTTGTAATTTTTTTTAAAGACATTTAAAATTGGAGCTGATTCTCCATAATAGCAGTTGATTTCACTTTGTATTTTGTTAATCGCTATAGCCAATGGGGCCATTATATTGCAATATTCTTCTAAATATTGAATTTCAATATCTCTTAATTTAGGAAATTCTAATTTTGGACATAATTTAGGAAGTTCGCCTTTAAATTTTAATAAACTATGAAGACTATCATACAAACTATTCCATCTAGTGCAACAAGGTGTAACTAATTGTTTTCCTAAAATTGCTTTGATAAGTTCTTCAGTTTTAAGCCTATTATTTGCATTCCATAGCTTAGTACATTTAGCTATTGCAGGATGATGAATTTTAGAAATGTTAGGAGAATCCTTAATAGCTCTCTCGACATCGGTTTTAGCAATTAGACATATCGTATGGCACAAACAACGAATGTGATGAGGCAATGTTATTGAGGTTTTTTAGACCCTTAAATAAATAAATAATTTATGAATAAAATTTTTACTAAATTTACAATATCATAATAAATTTTAAAGAAGTATTAAATAATACTTTCAATAATTTCGAATTCTATACTTTCATCATCATTGATGTCAAAGTCATTCTCACAGCTTCATAGAATATCCAAACTCCTTGAAAGCTTTCTTAAAGTTAGAGCCGTTATCTGTAACAGTTGCTATAACTTTTTCGTCAATACCAAAGTCACGATGAATTTCTTTAATATGATCATCTTGAAGTACTTCAAAAAAATTTGGTTGAAGAATCATCTGAAGACGTAGATAAACATATTATTCTATTTTCTTCTTCCATAATTTTAAAATAGACAGATATAAGATGTTTCAAATATGGTAGTTCTAATTGTTTGCAAATTGCTATATGACGACCAACGTCATATATCAAAAATTATCTTAAATTAAAATATCTAAATTTTGATTAAATTTTTCATTTAAATCTTAAAACAATATCACTTTAAATTTTAATACTATTTAAATTAACCAATATAAATTTTTTTAAAGTATCTGTAGCTTTTTAAAACAAAGTTGGTTAAGATACAAATACTTTTAAATAATATGAATCTTAGATACTAGATACAAGATACTTTCCAAAATTTTAAAAAAGATACAAGATACTGATACAAATATCCGCGATACTGCCCAACCCTGCTCCTTATAGATGTAATTTGAGTGAGACGAGTTTTATAAATATATTATTTGTGCGGCTTAATAAAAAAAATTTAAGTAATTGTTCATATTAAAATTAATCATTGATATATTTATTTGTTAATTAATAAAAATGAAGGTTAATTAAAATAAAAATTTCCTTATACATAATCCTAATGTAGGTTTGAATACAAAAGTGTTTAAACCCGTTTTTAGAGGTTCGAACCAAACCGATATTTTTATCCGAATCTGAACCGAACCGATATTCGTTTCGGTTTGGATCCCTAGTGTGTTCCCAAAAAGGAACCATATTTATATTTTAACAATTTTAATTTGTATTTTTTCTCTAATATATAAAGAATCTTTCGCTCATTTGGTGTAATATCTAATTTTACCGCCAAGACTTTATAAAAACATGAGTGTCATGGGTGTAAAAAAGACGTTAGTTGATGCAATTGTTGATGATTCTTATATTTTTTTGATTTCAGCCTGAGTATACCGATTGATGTATGTTAGTGTTTAAAGGGGAAAAAAACGCTAATCATGGTTAATGCCTGATAGTGTGTATGGTTATTCTACATGCGATGATGCATGAAACGCGTAATAATTCAATAGTGTGTAATATTTATTTTTCCGAAGTCTTTACAAGAAAATAAATTTTATAAACAATTTTAGAGTAATTTAGAATATTTTTTCAACTAAGGTATTATGAAAAGTAATTGCTGTTTGTAATGGCTGTCTTAATAAATAGCTATATCTATATTTTATATTATAAATTTAACATCCCAATTTTTCGCTTCCGCCGTACTTTGATAAATTCAATGATCTTTATATATTTTTTTAATTAACTTAAAATAACCAAAAAAAATTAAACTTTTTAGAGGACTGATATTGTGGTTACAAAATTTTGCTCTAAACTTTAAAAAATTCCAACAATTTACACGACCTTACAATAACCTTTATAAAACTTCTCACAATATATATTAGAGTAAGAATATGTTTGTCTATCTTTATTTACATATCAATAGTTGTTTCTAATAAATTTAACAAATACATTTCTATTACCAAGTGTTAAAACCTTTTCTTTAAAAAACTAGTATGTCCACAGTAAAGGAAAAATTAATGGGTCACGTATCCGATAACGTTACAGCACCGATTGGCAAAATAACAGTTGTTGGAGCTGGTCAAGTTGGTATGGCATGTGCATTTAGCATTTTTATACAGGTTTAGAATTTTAAGTTTATGACGTTTTAACATGTTAAAAATATTGGTATTAATAAACAAAATTTACAGGGTTTAGCTAGTGAATTGGCGTTAGTTGATATGCTTGAAGATAAATTGAAAGGTGAGCAAATGGATTTGCAACATGGTTTGGCATTTGTACGCAATGTCAAAGTTAATTCTAGCAAAGGTAATTCCATAAATTTACTATAAATTTGATATAGGTACCAAGCTGAGTTAACAAACTTATTAAATTATTTGAATTTCTTTCAATATTATAAAATTTAGAAATTGATCCACTACCCCCCCTTTTTTAATGTTGAAATTTAAGGAAATATCAAAAAAATCTATAATTATTTCTATCGTGTTTGTTTAATAATAATATTAATTCACTATGCTTATGCTAAAATTAATTTAGATACAATTTATAATTCTAGTTTATTAATATGATTATCAAACATTGTATAAATTAAAAAAACAATCATATTATTATAAATGAGCAAATATTGGTTAATTCAATATTTATAGTTTAACAATGTTTATTCACAATATTCCACAGGTTATAAATAATAAAAGTAATTCATGTTTTACTTATACATTTCACAGGATGCATTTTTATCGAAGATATATGGTTTAAAATTTATTTTATTATAAAATTTAAAACAAAAATTATTTTTTCCAATTTTTATTTTTAAAAAAATCATGATTTCTATCTACCAACTCTATTGAAGTGTAATAAAACAAAATAGACTAATTATTAGTACATTTGCACTAATTAGTATCATTATCAGGCTTATCATGGTATTAGTTAGTATTAATACCATAATTTAAATTTTAACATATCAGTGGCTCAAAAATTTTAAAATGCCTTTTACATTATATTTAAAATATTTAGACAAAATCATTTATGTGTAAAAGTCATCCCAATGATATCTCATTCATAATATACTTTTTAAAAATATTTTGGATTTTATTTATTAAAAAATTAACAAATTTTTTTTGATGGTTTAATATGCCCCTTTTGCTTTAAACATGCCTAATTTTTAATTTCTTTGTCATTTAGAGATTTCTGTATAATTACCTACATATTCATTACATTTTTTTTAAATGATAGCTTATTTTTTTATCAGTTTGAACTTTTTACAAGCAAATGCAAGAAATTTGCCAGCAATTGTTTTTTCTGTTATTTAATTTATTTTAAACATATTTTTCTTTAAACACAAGTCCACATCTTTTCAAAATAATTAAAAATCAACTTATATTATTCGTTTTATATTTTTTTACAATTAATCCCCCCCCCCCCACCTCCCATTATTCTCATTTTGTTTTTCCCAAAATTTGAAAATATCAATTTTTGCAAAAAAAAATACTACATCTTTGATACTTTATGAGTAACCCTACATTTTAAGCAATAAATTTTTAAAAAAAATTTCCATCAAATCTGCACAAACAATCTCTCATTCAATCATAATATTAATTTTTTTAAAAATTATTATTTTTACCTGCAGATTATTCCATCACCGCTAACAGCAAAATTTGTATAGTCACTGCTGGTGCCAGACAAAATGAAGGGGAGAGCAGATTGAGTTTGGTTGACAGAAACATTAACATCTTTCAAAGTTTGCACAATTTTTGTTTTATTAAATAACTTAGTCACTTAGAGAGAGAGAAAATGTGTAATTTTTATGTTTGGATCTAGTCTTGTTAAACAGCTCGTTTTGAACCGATTTTTAAAAACGGCTAACTCAATATTTTGGCCAGTAATAGATGTATAGACCTTTGTTTCACTTATGAGCAAAATCTTCAGGCTTGCGTAATATTTTTCTGGATGAAATATTGAATTAGCTGTTTTTAAAAATCGGCCCAAAACGAGTTGTTTAACAACACTATTTGGATCTATCTCCAATTTTTCCCCCAAAAATCAGAAGTAAATTAATTATAAAAAAATATAGGCTTTTATCTCTATCTCTTTTAATTTATAAAAATATTCTCTCCTACCTTCACCAATAAATAAAATAATGTTCAATTTCCGTTTATTTTTCAAAATAAAAAAATTCCAAATTTTGTCTTTCCCAATCTCAAATATTTTTAATAGCCTGGTTAAAATTTTTTTTGAATTTAATGAGCCATTCTCAAATTAATGCTGATTTTAGAAAATCTTTTGGTTCTTATATATTTATAAATGAGACTGGTGGGGGGGGGGATGAATTGATCATGTTTGACAAGATTGACAAAGCTTTCTAAAATAATTTAATTAAATAAATACATATTTTTTTATTATTTTATTTAGGCATAATCCCTCAATTGGTGAAATACAGTCCCAATGCGATATTACTCATTGTATCTAATCCGGGTAAAGTATTTCAATTATAAATGTCATATAATTACACTACCTTCTTACGGTACTGCCAAATGTTAGCTCAGCTTTCAATTTGGAATAAGCAAATCCTCGTTTTTTCCCTTCTAGTCTTTTTTTTAAAAGGCCATAAACGATACTTAATTATACTTCCTGATGTTTTTACCTCAAGGGGTGTCTATATCCTATCACATTTTTAATCGAGATCTTTTTTATTCTTTAGAATCTTCTCACCTCTTCTACGATTGGGATTTGACAATTTTCCTTTACACTTTTTAACCGATTTATTCAAAACCGGGTCCTCTCCCATGAAAATGTCATTTATACAAAAGTTACTCTATTTATATTTTGGCAATTCATTCCCACAAGCATTCCTTGTGGTGCATCAACTGATATAAAAAATATATCCTTGATTTTTATTGGCTTATCTCCTAGCCGAATGTGGGTTAGGGTTAGTTTTTATTTTAATTTTTGGATAAGCTGACAGTAGAGTAAAAAAAAATATAAAATTTATTCATTTCTTAAATTATATCTTTTTCTAAGTTGATAAAGTCAGGACATTCTGACTTTTTTTTCACTTCACTTTTCATATTAGGATTTATTTTATTTTTTCAAAATTTCTCAAAATAATGTATATTCGTAAAAAGTGGATATTCTCACTTGGGTGGCATGGAAGCTGAGCGGCCTTCCCTCTCACCGAGTTATCGGAAGTGGAACTAACCTTGATTCTTCCCGATTACGATTTCTGATAGGGGAGAGACTAGGCATAGCCCCTTCCAGCTGCCATGGATGGATCATAGGAGAACATGGCGACTCTAGCGGTAAGTTTTATTAACCTTTTATTCAACAAATAAAAAATATAGATATTAATGCATGAGTATTAGGGTGCTCTTTCGCCATATTTTTACATTATTGAGAGATGAATGATATCGACTTCTAACATTGGCCTTTAAAAAAGAGAAAAATTTTCACATAATAAATTTTTTTTTAAATGAAAATTAATTTTTCAATATTATTCAGTAGGGATATTTATTTATATTGATATTGCCGGTCTCTTTTTTGTTTTGTTTCATATAAGTAAATGAATGTGAAGGATTATACCTACAAAAAAACTATTCGAATATTTGCATCATTCATACAAAAAATATTATTTTATTTGATTCAAATTAAATTCCGGAGTTTTCGAAAATGAATTTATAGATTATTAAAATTTAAAATTAGTGATATATAGATTTGGGAAAAAGATTAAAAGTTCCAGAAAGAACAATATTTAAATTAATTTCAAATGTTTATATATGGGATATTTTTAAATTTTTTGTAAATTATTTGGAATATTTATGGATAAAGCTTACCTTAAATTTTTTTCCCCCTTCTGTTTAAATTAAAAACTACTATATTTTTTTCCATAAAATCGATTCAGTTGCCGTCTGGAGTGGGGTCAATATAGCCGGGGTTAACTTATCCGAGGTAGACCCAAATATAGGCACTGGTAATGACAAAGAAAATTGGGAGTCCATTCATAAGGAAGTCGTCGACAGGTTGCGTTTTATTTTTAAAAAAAATTCAATCAAATAAATTTTTATTTTTAAAAAAAATTCAATCAAATAAATTTTTATTTTTTTAACGAAAATTTTGCATCTGAAATAGAGAAATGCAATTTTTTTTAACGCTTGGTGAAAAGGGGAGGAAAAAAACTGAATACGATTTCGCAAATATTTCAACCATTTTTAGGGATTTTTGATTATTTTTCATTTTGGTTGAAATAAGATCATCTATTTGTCGTAATTTATTTCATTTTTCGAGATTTAGATCTTGATTTTTTGTACTAAAATAATTTAAATGATGAACTATTTATAAAATAATTTTCTTTATCGGTACAAGTAGAGGATTTCTAGAGATGTAAAATAAACAAAAAAAAACTTCCAATAAACTTTTATTCTTCAAAGGATAAAAAATAAGGTTAAATATCATTTTTTAGGAAATTTCGAAATACTTGAATAATTAAATTTATAAAAATAACTTTCTTGTAAAAATATTCATATATAAAATAAGTGAGTCACATAATTATTATGTGTTGAAAATTTTTTCAATTTAATAGTTAATACAAAAAAAACAGAATGTTTGTTTGGTTTGCGTTAAAAAACGGATTTTTTCACCCCCCTCCTAAATGAAGCAAACTGTAAAATCAATGTTTCCTTAAAAAATTAATTGTATACTGCGTACCAAATAATTAAGTGCAAAGGTTGCACTTAGTTTCACCAAATTATCTAGTAGAATATTCAATAATGAAAGGGCCATATTTGTCATTGTTATATGAATTACTGAATATACATCCTATTTCTTCTATCTTTCCAACCCCTCCCCCTTTCCTTTATCACCTCACCCTCTATCATCATATATCTTAGTATCCGTTTGACTCTGTGTTCACAGTTAGACGAATTCGCAGTAAACAAAAATTGATGTAAAATTATATTTATATCATGTTTTATATACTTTACCACGAATTCCGCTAACCATGAATGCAGGGTAAGTTTCTTTTTTTCCTCACCAACTCTCGAACACTTCTTACTTTTAAATTTGTAAAATATTTCCAATTCTAAAAGGATCATTATTTTTTTCTTATTTTATGAAATCCTTTGAATTGCTTAACATATAATTAAATATCAAAGATGGAGGACAAACAAATTAAATGAATAAAGAAGAGGAACTATATTTCTCTTAGATGATTCTGTTTTTATGTTGAGACCTTGATGATGTAATATACATAGCTCATCAGGCAATTTATGAATAAAATATCACGCATATAAATAAATCCTCCACTGGTGACCACCATGAATCACTATATTTGATATAAATTTATATTTATTGCATTATAAAATGATGATTTACACGGACCATTCAAACAAATCTTCTAAAATATTATATACCCAATTTGTTTTTCCTCCAGGATTTTCTGGGTTGGTAGGTAGTCCACAATGATTTTGCTTTAACTGATCTCGGGCATCCAAATAGTTTTGGACCCTTTTATTCATTTCTTTAACATGCCATCTTTTCCACTCTTCTATCAAACCATTTTATAACATTTACACTGTCCTCAAGTGGAAAGAGATTGCGCAAAAGACACAAGGGATGATGAGCTAGATATACAAAAATGGTGCCATCATATACAACATGGAGGAACAGGATCAGGCATAAATACCCTCAAGATAAAGGAAATAATATTATACGATTAAAATATGTTGGATACCGTTCATTATCGGTGGCTGGCAAACATCAGGATAACCACACGGAAAAGAGTGTAACTATCCTCAAATTTACACCTATAACGTTGGTTTTATGGGTATTTATTAATTATCCTCACAAAAAAGTTTTACCAAATTGGCGAAAATTGAGTAACAATTAAACATTCCATAAAGTGACCCACTCGGACTATTAGGTCAACATAAAGAGATAAACAGGAATATTTTTTTATATTATAAATCATTTTCTTAAATAAGATTTATGCATTTAGTGCTTATGAAATCATAAAGTTGAAGCAATACACTTCTTGGGCCATAGGAGTAACGGTCGCCAGCATCTGTTCCTGTATTTTTAAAAATCTTCACAACATCCACGCTGTGTCTGTGTGCGTCAAAGTACACTTATTTTTATATGTATTCTATCTAATGCTTTCTACTAACCCCATCTCTTGTAATAAAAAAGGAAGTATAAAACTACATACTACATTTCCCTCACGATCCGCGTTTTGCTTCTAATTGGTAAAATTTGCTAACCTCTAGATTGTATTCGTTCAAGCGATCACAAATTAAAGCTTATTTAACATCGCATTATATTAAAATAAACACTTGTTGTTCTAAAGCTTATATCGCTATTCCTTATTTCTTAAATATTTAACGATGTTCTTGTAAGAAATTTTTACACGAGCAAAAAAAACCCCTATTTATATATCGGCAAACAAAGCTAATTGAACAAATAAAAATTTTAATAATTTATAAATATATCTGCTCCTTTAAAACTTGCGGACTAATTTTATTATTCTATTTTGATATCTATCAATAATATTTTAAAATTGACCTTTATGGACCATGATATTCATTATTCATCTCATCCTTCTCTTATCCAAATCTCGAATAAAGATATTTCTACTTTACCCATTCTCGCAAATATAAAATAATATCTTTTACCTATTAATTTACAAAGAAATGTTAATTCTACTGTAAATCACATCCACACCTTATTTAAATTACAAAAAATAAATATATTTTTTAGCGCTTACGAAATTATAAAGTTGAAGGGTTACACCTCGTGGGCCATAGGGGTGTCAGTAGCGAGCCTCTGTTTCTCTATCTTTAAAAACCTTCACAATATCCACGCTGTATCTATATGCATTAAGGTAAACTCGCTTTTATATCTATCTATCTATTCCCTTTAACTCCATTTTTTATAGTCTTATTATGCAGTTTTTTTTAAACCCTAAACGGTATACCTATTAATTGATTTTTCTTATCAATATTAACTTGTAATAAATATTAAAAAAAGGAATAAAACTACCCCCACACCCTCTCTACTACATTTGCTCCACGATCTGCGTTTCGCTTTGCTAAAATTTTCTAACCTGTTCATTTATATTTGTCTATCAATTAAACAATCTACCGAACAAACACTCGGTGACTGATTAAGGCTTATATTGAACTTGTTTCTCAAATATTTATCGATGTTCTTATAAGTAGCCTAAGCAACACATTGAGCATATTATATTTTGATTTCTTTACTCGCCTTCCCATTTGCCTTCATTTTTTTTACTTGCCATTTCATCCTTAATTTTAACTTTTATCAACATATTTGCTCCTTAAAACTCAACGAATATTTTTACTGTTACTTTTTAAAAATATCAATCATAATATTTTAAAATTGACTGGGGCTTTATGGACAACGATGTTCATTATTCATCTCATCTCCATGATCTTTTAATGGAAAAAAAACAAATTTCTTATCAATAAATATAATTTATCTAAATCTCGAATAAAATTGATGACCACCCTACTTGATCCATTCTTGAAATATGAAATGATATCTATAAAGAGATGTTAATTCTACGGTAAATCGCAATAACTATCCAGGAAAAATATATAATTACGAAAAAAGAGGCCATTTTATATTACAAAAAAATATATTTTTTTAGCGCTTATGAAATTATAAAGTTGAAGGGTTACACCTCATGGGCCATAGGTGTGTCAGTTGCCAGCCTCTGTTTCTCTATCTTTAAAAATCTTCACGCTATTCACCCTGTCTCTGTTTGTGTTCAAGTTTGTTAAACACTTATTATTAATACGTATTTTGAATCACCTATCTGAGATTGGAAGTTTATGTGTCATTACCTTAACATGAAAGGCTTACACTTGTAATTGGTATTTGTATTTTTTTCTCTTTTCTTGTCATGCAAATGACTTTTTAAAAAAAATAAATTATATTTTCTCAAATACATTTAACAATCTAATCTGATAAACACCGTTTCACTTATTTATATCCTTTTAAAATCTCTATTATTTTTTACCTAACATTTCTTTATCGCAGCTAAATAATCTAGCCATTTTTACTTTGCTACTCTCTATTTAACACTTTCAAATACTAATTTATATTTTTATCAAATTTTCTATTTATTATATATATATTTATAATGTTACCGGCAATAAAGCGATACGCGTAATTTTTATTCAAATTTTAAAAAATAACCTAAAAATTATAATTTTCCAAATTTATCGCATTTCTATTTGGCACATATTCGGAATTTTTTTGGCAAAATCAGATCTTATTTAAAAAACTGGCTTAAATAAATAATTTATTTTGTACTTTTTTTTTAAATTTGAAAATTTGATTTCGAAAATCTATTCCAGCATAAAGTAAAATACATACCCCATAAATATTGACGATTACGTACATTGCCGGTAATATAGGCGTGAAATAAATACAGATTAATATTTTTCAGAGACCTGCAGATAATTTTTATAGCTAATAATGACGATTTAAAATAAAAGGCGCGGCCTGGGTACTTTAAAAAAAAGAGATTTTCAGGCCCGGCTATTTAAAATTTTTTTTAGGCCAGGTCAGGGCATGTATATAAAAATTTAAAGACGGCCCTGCCCATGTACCCGGGCTTAGGGCCGGACTTGCAGGTTTCTGATATATTTAGTGGCAAAATAATTAGTTAAATATTAGTGATCAACTTTATTGCTTACTAATTTGTTCATACTTAAAAGAATTTTATATTTTAGGAAAGAGAAAAATAACTAACATCTGTATTAAAATAAACAAGGGTTACCACGGCATAGATAAGGAAGTATTTTTGAGCCTTCCTTGCGTCCTCGGGGAAAATGGTGTCATGGACGTCATAAAACAACCACTCAATGAACAAGAAAGACAAAAATTGTATAACAGCGTAGACACAATATTCAAAATACAATCTTCCTGTAAAATCGGAAAGTAAAGATTCCCTTCCCCCCATCCACATTTTTTCCAGTTTTTTTCCCTCTTAACTTAATTTTTTTTATAATTATAATACTCATATTTTTTTTGGTGTCTTCAATTTTTTAACCTTAGCTGCCAAATTATTTTAGCTTTTTGGTGTTTACATTTAATTTAATCTCAGGCCATTTTGATTATTTTTATATTTAGTCAATCATTATTGCGTATATTAATTATTATATGCCAATATGTAGTAATTTATCAATAAAATTATTAATATTAGTTATAGTCGTCCGATCATATTACATTCTTTTAGGATAAATTTATTAGTTTTTTCTCATAGACTAATATAGAGTATTACGGTAAGAAAAAATTGATTTATTAAGAAATGATATTAGTATATATATATATATTGTAAATAAGGGAATCATCGGTCACTTGATAGCGTTATATATTTTTTTTGAATAATAAATAAACATGGCTTTCCTCTCTGTAAAGCCATAAATAAGGGCAAACTATTCTGCCTTGTGTTGGCTCGTCTTTTTTTTAAAAAACGTATTCATTTTGAATTAGGGCGCCTTATTTGAAAGAGAGAACAGAACATGTATATTGAATGAATATTATGTTATTTATATATATTTTTCTGTTACAAATAAGCAGTAAATTCTAAATAACCTCTTTCTTTTTAGTCTGTTTAGAGTAAGCTATATAGAAAGCTAATTAGACGACTGTTTATAAATAATGCTAACCAGAACACCGACTTATGTCTTCTAATTGATTAATACTTTTTTTGCCTTAATGATCAGCCTACGTATATCATTTACAAGAAGGTTTCTACAAACTCTTTAAAAATATTTTTGATCTCTGAAGTACAAATAAGATTTATTTTAGCAAATTTTGCCCAAAATTCTATTTTTTTTGTGTTTTTTATGTATCAAAAAAAAATATTTTCATGATTTAAAATCATAAATTTAAAAAAAAATATATATTTTTTTGTTGATCTTTAAAATATTATTAACGAAAACGTTTTTAATTGATGCCAGGGGGGGAAAAATTTTCGAGAATGAAATTTATTATCCAATCTACTTCTTCCACCATTTTTTTGATTCTTTTTTCTTTTTTTTTTCTTTTTCTTTTAAGTACAAAATAAGATTTATGATAAAATTTATCAGTTATGTAATATTGTATGGTAAGTTTTTTTAAGGAATAACGCCTTATCCTTCGCAAAGTATCCCGAAATCCTCACACAAAGTATACCGAATCCCTCACTTTTATATTACCTATAGCTAACGATATTACAGTATTTGTCACGAATTATTTCTCTATTTATATTTTAATAAAATATAAATCAAGACGCTTATTTCATAAGTTCACAGTAAAAAGTACTGTGAACTTGTAAAGATAGACACTTATACATGCCAGAATACATTTCCATTAAAATCAGATTGTTAAAATTTTAAAAATTCACTCAAATCATTTAAATCCACACTTTGAGGATTTCGGGGATTAGTCGTTATTTATATAGCAAATTAGGAAAGAATACCTTTAGGAGCGGGTGCTGTCTCGGCTTCATAAACGTAGTCCTTTTGATATAAAGATAAAATTTACAAAACGAATGAACACTGAAAGCTCTAGGAGCATCCAGCAATAATTTGACTGAAATCAATTAGAGGTCTGCAATTAGCAATTTTTTTTTAGCTCGATTGGAATTTATTTTTTTCCTGGCCTGGCCAAATTTATACCTGGCCCGTTTCCAATTTTTTACTAAGGTTGCCCAAACGGTTTTTCAAATACAAGGCCTAACCCGTAATATATGTAGTTGAATACCAAAATAAACAAATTTCTAATATTGAGGAGTGATTAAATTAAAAGGGTTATTATTTCCATCAAATCCAGCCAAATAATTTTTTTGCCCTCCATGGGCCTGGCATTGCAGACCTCGTAAGTCAATCAAGGTTTTTTTAAAAAAAAAAAGATTATGGTTATTCAAATCTCATAAGATGTAGATTATATTCTGATATAGAAAATTGTAGGTTGCGAAGATTATTTTTTACCGATTAAAAAAGACTTATTTACCTTTTCATAAGCACCAGGAGACCCTCCTCCGTAATATGGTGATTCCGCCTTCTCATTTTTGAAGTATTCGATTATGTATTCTTTATTGATTTTTTGATCCTTTCCTTTTTTGTTCGTTCTTGATTTATGCTGGCTCAATTTTATGGTCTTATCTGGTTGAACTTTCTTGATTGCAACCTTTGCTAAATCCCCTTTCCTGTCGAGTATGTGCATGAGATCATCGAATCTTTCCGCGTTATGTTTTAGATCACGAGTGGAATTCTGTTTATTTTATTACCCCACAGTAATATAGTATAATATGTTATGCAGTTCAAGAAAATTTAATCATGATAAGTTATTTTATTATTATTATAAAGTTTTTTTTTATTTTGCAAGAACTATAAAGTGTCAGGGTCGTGCTTAATTTTTTAAAGTCATTCTCAAAATTTAGCATTAAGAAATGGTTAAAAATTTTTTAACTAATAAGTAATATGTCTGTAGTTTATCCTAAGAATATAAGAACAATTTTACTTCTTTAAAACCGGTATTTTTACTTAGAAAACAATAATCCAGCAAATGTATTAATAACCTTTAGGTCATTTAAAGCTCCCATCAGCTCAGCATTATCTCCCATAGATTGCATACCATCACCTAAATTACCAAAATGACTGCCGCCTAAATTTCCATAATTTGTTGAGCCATCGATCCTAGATGACAAAGGTATGAGAGGCCCCTCTTGAAACTTCTTAAAAAGATCCAGGCAATACATCATTATCGTCCTAGGGGTGACGCATGGATACCTCTGCTGCAGATTGCACACGTTGGAAACGATTTCCCTTTGAATGTCTTCTTTCTACAATTTTTGTTACAAAATAATTATCAAAACATGACCCTTACCCTCACAGCTTTTATAAATTTTCAGCGAAGTATATAAAAAATATAATATAGAATAATTTGCATTCATTTTTGTATATTTAGTCGCAATACGCGCTAACTGTAAATTCAGGGTTATGCTTGTTTAATTTATAATAATTATAAAAGCAAACAATCTTTTTCAGATTTGTCCTTATAGTTTAGAATTTAAAATAAATGTTTACATTTGTCACGCGGTTTGAATTTACAGATACTTGAATATCTTGGCGAAATTTTCCACTTCTTCTGGCCTCTTGTAGACTATATATATTTTTTAAATATGTATTTTTTTTTATAAATTACTGAAATAAAGGATGGGTATCAAGCCCACCATATTAGAAATCTGCAATACCCGGCCCATTCTTGGATTGGGAACTGACCGGACTTGCAAAAAGTAGAGATGCCCGACACGCTTAATAGAGAATAGAAAAAAATATTCTAAAGCCTAATTTCGTTAAAATAATATATTTTTATTTTGCTGATAATTTTGACCTGCTACCATGATAATTCATTGATAAATACGATTTACTTTTCCTACATCTTGTGTTTATTTTTATTGTCATAATAAGAAAATCTTGAAATAGAAATCCTCATATCAATAATGGTTATTTTTTTGGAAATAACGGTAAAATGAAAACGGTTGAAATTAATCGGGAGAGTAAAAACTAAATTCTAAACGAGTTGGGTCAGGCCTGAAAATTTTGTTAATTAGTAAACCTCTAATTCGTATACAAAATAATGTATATATTTTTTTACTTAATGTACAAAATGTAGGCTAATTCTACGACATTTCTAAGGGTAAGATCGGTGTGGTACATGAGACATCTTCTCATGGTAATCAATATTTCGGCCACTATATCGCTCTTAACGTTCGCAATATTCACCTCTGCCAAACAATCTCTAGCTATACTATTTATGTCTAAAATAGAATAAGTCCGTTTTTAATTATTAAATAGTTTCATAAATAATATTTGTGGACACGAATTTGTTGGTTCAATAGAATTTTTTCCTTTAAAAAAGGAAGAAGTATTGTATATTGTTAAAACTAATGATGCAAAATTCCCAGCCAATTTTTAAAATGGCTAACTCAATATTTAGTAGATATTGTCTAAGCCTCGAGATTTCTTCAATAGATGAAAAAATCTTCAAGCTTGAGTAATATTTCTCTGGATAAATTTAGAGATTTTTAAAATTTTACATCACTAGTTTAGACCTTAATATATTAATTTCTTAAAAAAAATACCTTTATTATTGCCCTGAGCAGTTTTAAAAAGCTGCTTGGCTTCATACAAAATTTCGCTTCTAGGAACGTTGGGATTCGATATATACAAGGAAAGTATATGCCTCACGCAATTCTCAAATTCCTATTTTTAAAAAAATAAATAATTTTATTAATACAATAATTTTTAAAAAAAAGTTTTAAACTTAAAAATGCATTACCGAAAGAGGGTCAACTTTCTTATACACAAATTTGCCCTTCTCTTTGAGTCTTTGTTGTAAGCTATTAAACACTGCAGAATTATTTTCCGATTTTAATATTCCTTGTTGACAATTCAATTGATAATAATGTAAATATAAATAATTTTATAATAAGAGTGAATAATGAGTAAAAGTTTAAACTAGTGTTGTTAAACGGCTTGATTTGATCCGATTTTTAAAAACAGCTAACTCACTATGTTAGCCAGAAAAATATTATCTAAGCCATGAGAATTCCCCCAATAGACGTTCAAACACTTGTGCCAACTATGAGTAAAATCTTCAAGATTGCCTAATATTTTTCTGGATATACAATTGAGTTAGCCGTTTTTAAAAATCGGCTCAAATCGAGCCGTTTAACAACACTAGTTGAAACGATAGTTTAAAAAAAAATCAAAATCAATAAATTGATAAAATATATTTATTTCAACCATGCTTGGAGTCGATTCCATCTTTGCTTTGACTAAATTCGATCACACCTTCGAAATATGTTTTGCTCTTAGCTAAAATTTCATCTCTAATTTATAATTAATATTTTAAAAAAAGTTTAGAGTGAAAATTATATAAATTATGATATAAATCAAAAAAAAAATTTTTTTTTAATAAAAATTACACTGAATAAACGTTGGATTTATTATGAATCAAATTAATCAAATGAATCAATAATTTTGCTAAATCCTCATTGTAGAAATTTCCCGTTGACAATGTATTATCTTGTGATTGCCCTCCTCCAGGGAATATGGGCAGTCCCAGATTGGCGATTGAGTTATTTAAGGGGTATGCTAATATATATTGAATATAAAAATAATCATTTTTTTTAAAATATATATAGGAATAAATTTAATAGTATTAGGAGATATCGTTTAATGATTTGATTTTATGTGATAAATTCCGATTGTTTCCTATTTATCATACAAAATATTGCCTTCTCAACCAACGGCTTCAGGTGGTGAGAGCAGCGTCTACATGAGCGGGAGGGGTAGGAACAGTTTGCATCATATGAGAGGGGGGAAGGGTAGGGGGTAGGGGGTGCTTTAATAAGGGTAGGATAAATTTTTTGGGGGGTTATCTATTAAATTTTGAGATGAAATAGGACAAAATTATTGCTTTAATAGTAATACAATTCATCGACCAAATTTATATATTGCAAATAATCATACACATTGTTTTCCAAATAAAACTTGCTGCTATCCGTTTAAATGTAATTTAAAAGGTTTAGATATATCAGCAAGCTCATAATGCCATAATAATTAATTCATTGTAAATAATGGAGGTTTTAAAAGAATTTATTATCTAAAAAATAAATTCTTTATATTCACAAAATATCGATAGTTGGTAGTAGAGATTGATTAATTTAAGTTATACTTTATAAATTCTCTGAAAAGAGTATCAATAAATTAAAAGGGTAAAAATAATAATAGGAAAACACCGCCGCCGAAGGCGGTAGTATTTTTTTAGGGGGGTAGGCAAGGATTTTTGAAGGGGGTTTGCATCCAGTGAAAATCCTGTCATGTAGACGCTGGGTGAGAGGTTAAGATTTAATAAGTAAAATTATCAGGGAGGTTTTTTAGATTTTTAAATCCCCTTCGACCTCATGAGGGGTGAAAGTCGCTGTTCTCAGCGCATACTAATTATAAGCCTTAAAATTAGAAATATTTAATATTTTGGAATCAATTTATAATTGATAATAAATACAATTATCTTAACTCACCGTTTGGATAAATTTGTGTGGCATAAAGGGATTGAGGAAATCTTGGATTATACATTGCTAAAATAGTTAGATAAAGTAAATATAAATTATGAAATAATATAACCCCCCCCCCCCCCTAAGTAATAAAATCACTTACAAGGGACATAAGTTGAAGGAAATCTTTCATAACTGGGGTTCAACCTGATAAAAATATAAAATTTGATATAAATAAATAATGATTGACTAAACTCTAAATCTATTTAAAATTGATTTTTTAATCAAAAAACCAATTGTTAGAAGGAACGTTGGCGATCTGAGAATCATTACACGCTGCGCAATTGTTATTGTTATTCATATTAGAAATTAAATCTTTAGGCAGACCACAGGTGTTGCATTTGTAAGGCATTTGATGATTTAGACCTACTGTTTCGCCACTAGATAAGGGTCTGTTGCAGCTTGGGCATAATTGATTAGGGTAATATGAGCACATGTTCTCGTTGATAGTCGGTAATAGATAACCAGTCTTGTTGAATGAATTGGACATATGTTTCTTGGTGATGGTAGTTTTGTAAGTTACTGGAACGGATATTTGGTTTTGGTATCGCGAGTTCGCGAAAGAATAATTATTAGCCAACATGGGGGACTGTCTCAATCTGTCTAAGGAATTAAATCCTTGTGATAACCCTTCAGTAAATGGCAATGTCTGCTTACAAGTCGGACATTGAGCGGGGGTACAGTGTAAAGAAGGAGTCTTTTTGATGAATTGTGAATTAAAATTTTGAGGTAATAGCACTCCACAAGTGGGACAAGATTTTATGGCTTGGATTTGAGCCTTGAAAGAAGGATATATAGTAGGATATTTGGATAAAGAAGTCAATGAACCATATGAAGGATTTAAAGAGGAAGCAGGTGTATATGGTACCATGCAAGTGGGGCACACTTTTGACATATTGGTGTCTGACTTTGATCTTAAGTTACTTTGATTGTAGAATGAGGTATTCAAGGGCATAAGAGATTGACTATGATAATTAAGAGGAGCCATAGTTTGTTTTCTGATAGGAAGATTTTGTGGCTGGGAAAAAATAATTTGTGGGATCATAGTTGGCGGCAAAGGAGTTAATAAAAATGGCAATCTAGTAAAATTTAAAGATGGGGAATTTATTTTATTATTCAAAATACCTACAATTTGAGGCATTTGAGTGGAAGGCGGAGCTAGATTATAAGGTACCGTGTATCTTAATTGTTGAGGTAAAACTATCGGGTAATTTATGCTTTTATTCAATGAGAAAGGAGACACCATTTTCAATGGTGGAAGATAACTTGGTTTCAGTCGAACATTCTTGGTGGAAGATACTATAGCGGGTGCTGTGTTACCGGTATTAACGTAATCGCCCATCATATTAGGAGAATGTATAATATTTGTGAGTCGTTTATTAATCGAAGTGTTACCATTAATTGATGCAATGTTTTGCTTGGTATTCAAAGAGTGATGGCATAAAGGACATTTCATGATAGATAGTTTGGCTGGTGATTGCACACCACTAGTTTTTTCTACCCGGGGAAATGTAATGTATTGCGAGTTTTTTGGTGAATTCATCATTAGGGAAGCCCCTTGATTCTTAATGTTAAGACTTTGTTGTTGTGGTAGCGTTTTCATTTTGATCGGTATGTTAGAGTTAAACGAATCTCTCTGAATTTCAGAAATAATCTGGGAATTGCTTATTTTATTGAAGGGACCATGGTGATCCCCATTGAAGCCTACGAGAGCTTTGCTTCCGATAAAGTTTTGAACGTCAGTCAAATTATCCATCAATTCTTTGATATTTTTATTGGTCGTATGAGTCGATCCGGAATCCCCTCCAATTTCACGGGGTGGAGAATTACAGGTATCGACAGTGCATACCGAATTTCTATCGCACATTGGACATTTAAGCATGGAAACTGCGAAATTCCGCTTCATAGCATTTGACAAGTTGCTGAACTTCCCCTTGCCAATCATATCGCATGAATGCTTATCTTGCAATTGTTTTATATCCATTAAAGTGGAAAATATGGAATCATAGGTATGAGCTAGTTGGGAACCTGTTCCCAAAACATTTTTATTTCTTAGCTCTTCCAACAATATTTTGAGAGCGGAACCGCATATTAGGCATTTGGTTCCTTGTTTATTATCAATATTTAGAGATAAATTCTTCGTGACTATTGTGTCTCCCGTGCAGGTTGGGCTGGTAGAATAGGGATCAATTGTAATCTTATTTACTTCCGCGTTAATTTTATTCATTTTTTCCGCGAGAAGATAATCCTTGTTCAGATAATAATCGGAGTATTCCTCACTTCCATCATCCGGACTCGCCTCCATTGTTTGGGCATTTTTAACCTTTACGTTATTGTAAGGTCCTCCATTTTGTGTTTGGCCTGCGTTTCCGATTTGGGGGTTGACCATTGGGTTCTGTTGAACATCTTTTACTAATTTATCCTTCAGTATGCGACTTATACATTTTTTACAAACATATCCTATTAATGAACCTCCTCCTAGGCCTGTCGGTTTAGCCATGTATGGTTCGTTTGACATGGTACTTTTTGAAAACTTGTAACTAATTTATATGCATGAATTTTAGTATAAATAAAAATAATTAACTATAAACCATATATATATCAAAGGGGGGGGGGGGGTGGTTGGGATTAATAAATTTGGGTTTTTTTTAGCAAATTAAAACATTAATCATTTTAAAATAAGGTATTTTTCAAAATTAAAAAAAAGGCGCGCTTATAAATTTTTAGGTTTTTAAAATAATTTTGCTAAAAACACCCGGATCTATGAAGCCATAGCTCTGAATTTGCGAAATCCATACCATATATAATACATAATTGCACAAAACTTTTAATGGTTACCTAGAGGATTTTAAAAAAAATGTCGCAGGAATTTATTTCAAAGCACATTCTTTAGCGAGGCACCCCTCAAATTCATAAAAACAACACGATGAATTTAAAATATGTTTTATTTTTTTTTTAAAAAAATAATATTTAATTTTTACTTTTCAATTATTTTGTCTCTTTGTTAATGTTTTCGGTTATTATTTGAAAATGGTCTTCTGGTGATGGATAATCACATTATGGATTCAATTAAAGAGGTCATAACCATTAAACAAAATAAAAAAACTAAAATGTTTTTTTTGCGGAGGAAAGAGTTTTAACATTAATAAAAAGGAAAATTAAAGTATAACTGAAAAATTAACATTAACGAAATCATAAATGATAATAAAGGAAAAAAAAAATAATTAAAAAAAAGGGTGAAAGAAAAAAAAAACTAAATAAAAATTTTATAAAACTAAAAAGTTTTTTTAAAAAAAAATATAATTACATTAGTTTAGAGATTGTTGTAAAACGCTAAAATAAATTTTTTTAAAAAAACGTAATATCAGTTTGCGTTTTTCGTCTTTCAATTATTCCATCATATTCTTAATATTTATTTATAATATAGCATCATCGTTCTGATATTTAATTTATTGCCTTCTTCCTTTAAAAAAAACGTAATAAGTTTATTGAAAAGTGATATTATCTGAAAAAAAATTGAATGACTTTAAGAATTATTAATACTAATTATACTTCCTATATGTCTAAAAGCATAAACGTTTGAGTCAGATAATTTTAAAAGAAACCAAACATTGAGTGTTATAAAGTAACTTTTCCAAATATTTTTTAAGCTAATTCCGAACATTTGTACATGGAAACTTTTTTTTATATTGTCATTTATTAATATTAATTCCGATTACAGATAATTTATAATTTTTTTCAAAAGTGACTTGTTATTTCAAATTTTTTTATAAAGATTGTAAAGCAATTCAAAATATTCTAAAGACATTTACTTTGGCCAATGTCAGGAATTGATGGCATATCTATTTATTGATATTTGTAAAATTGAATGTTTGACATTTAGAAGATAAAAAAAACATCGTTGAATCTAAATAGAAAAAAGGATAATAGATTGAATAATGAAGGGTATGAAGATTGAAACAAAAATGTTATAATATATGTTTTCCTTTATTTATCTCCATTAATTATAAAATAATAAATTATATAGTAAAATATATTAAATTAACATTATAAGAAGATTATATTAAAAAAATTAAAGCTAAACTAGAAATTAAAAAAGAATTGTTTCCAAAAATTGTAAAGAGTGATTTATATCCACAAATCTTTCCTTTAAAATTGACATCTTCTAAATATCCTCATTTACATAGACTATAATATGAAATTAAGTAGTATCCTAATAATTCTTCTAATTCGCATAAGAAAATATTTATATCGCAATATTTTGAATATAATTTTCAAAATGATATATATATATATATGACACTCAAAACTATATTTACTGAAACGCTAGAACACTTAAATAAAGACGTAGTAGCCTATCTCGTTAATTTTTTTTAAAAAAGATTATGAACTTGAATTATACGGGACGCGATATATATTATGAAAAGCCATAAAAAAATTAGAGATCATGGTTCTTAATAATCTACAGCGCCTCTTCCTTCCTTTTTTAAAGCCTTATCGTTTTTAAAACTATATTTACTGAAACGCTAGAACACTTAAATAAAGACGTAGTAGCCTATCTCGTTAATTTTTTTAAAAAAAGATTATGAACTTGAATTATACGGGACGCGATATATATTATGAAAAGCCATAAAAAATTAGATAAGATCGTGGTTCTTATTCTTATTTATCACCTCAAAACAAAACAAAAATTGGGTGTACAGCAAAGGCATTATATTTTACTCTAATTTTACCACATCGATAAAATGTTACTGATGTCAAAATAAATTATAACAAATTTACGGAAAACCTAGACTTTTATAAGATAATTTTTTTAAAAAAAAAATATAATTCATTCTCATTAAAAATTGAAATGTAAAAGAATAAAGAAGATGTCGCTAAATATTTATCAGTATAATTCAGTATTTATCATCAACCATTCTCTATTTATAAAGTGTTGAGCGAAGGTCTCTAAAACAAAAAATAATAGAATAATATTTTTTTTTTTACTATGTAAAATAGAGAAGTTCTGATAAAATAATAAAACATAATAAATGCAACACTGTTGTCAGAAATTAAGGGAATACCTCAAAAAAAAATAAACCTAAAACGTTCAGACTAGGATGCTCGCTAACACAACACACCTGCCACCTTTGCAACCTACCCGTACAACCAAATGCAAGACACGGCCTAAACTGCTCCCGTAGCCAAGGTCGCCACCTCCGGCATAAAGCAATAAATAAAATCATCCATAATGCTCTCAATAAAGCTAAAATTCCTAACATTCTAGAACCTACAAACCTCTCTCTACAAGATGACCTCAGACCTGACGGTCTAACCTGCATCCCTTAGTCCAATGGGAAATCCCCAATCTGGGACGCTACCTGTGTCTCTTCCTTTCCCTCATCAATTAATTCAAATCCTCTTACTAATGGCGAAAATAAAAAAATCAATAAATACTCAATATTAAATAATTTTATTTTTCAACCCATAGTCATCTCAACTAATGGTAATTTCTCCCAATCAACATATTCTTTTTTAAAAAACGAAAAACGCGAGTCAACCTTCCTAAAACAAAAAATACAATTAGAAATTTTTAAACATAATTATACATGTTTTTTAGGTACTTTTTTACTATAAGCTCTTTTTAGAGCCATCGATATTTTTAAAATTTACACTCATTTTTAATATATGACTTGTTATATTAGATATATTTTATTATTGTAATTTAAAAATTATATCATTTTAATAAAAGCAATTATTAAAAATAAAAAAAAAAAAAATTTGAAAACTATGATCTTGAATATAACTCAGCTAAAGTTTTTTAAAAAAGAAGCTTAACATTTTAGGCGATTAGTTAAATTATTTTATAATTGCAAAACATCAAAAATTAGTAATAATCAATAATTAAGCAATTAAACATTTATAAACTATTCAGATTCTGGATTCTGAATAAATAATTTCGGTTGTCTTTTTAACAGTAAGGTTGGCCAATATTTTTGTTGCTAAAAATATTTTAATATGTTGAAATTGACCAAATGGGATAAGAGGAATGACCAGAAATAAAATGGAGGCCATAAATTATTTTTTTTAAAAAGTAACCTAACTTCAGCACATTATTTAGTGCATTACTATTAGATTTAGACCAAAATCAATTAAGGAAAATAGTTTGAACATAATTAATCCGCGTAGACAATGGGTGGCAAAAAAAGTAAACCTGAGAAAAAGGCAAATAAAATTCGGTAAATTACCATGTTATCTATATAAAAAAATGTATATATAATATGCTATTAGAGACGACTAACATTATATATTTTTATAAATTTACCTGAAACAATTTTTTATTTTATAAGCGCCCGCCAATATTTAACAATTTTCAATAAGAAAAACCTTTTTTAATTAAGAAATTGATTTTTAAAAAAATTTGACTAAATTAAGATAAAATACTTTTTAAATTATATTTCTGGCTAGAGCCCCTTTAAATGATAAAAAAAAATTTTCCTATAATGTTTAGAGGGCTTATATCTCGTAACAAAAAATAATTGAACTTCTTTCTTCTTCAAACATAAAAGAAAGTAAAAATATTTGCTAATAATAAAATATTTTTTATTGATAATAATTATATTTTTAATGTTATAATTAAATTCATTTTAGCTTAAATATATATATCAATCATTTTAATTAATTATACAAATATTAATATCTAATTTTTTTTTTTTAAAAAAAACATCAATTTTAATACAAAAAAAAAGTAATTATAAAAATTAAACGGAATGAAGTGTGTACTTAGTGTTGTTAAACGGCTCATTTTGAGTCGATTTTTAAAAACGGCTAATTCAATTCCAGAAAAATATTATGCAAGCCTGAAGATTTTGCTCATATGAGGAACAACAGTTTAGACATATACTATCGAAATCTCGAGGCTTAGGCAATATTTTTCTGGCTAAATATTGAGTTAGCCATTTTAAAAAATCGGCTCAAAACGAGCCCGTATAACAAGACTAGTGAGTATAGAAGAGCTCCTTGGAAAGTAGAGTGTCATCGAAGCTAATGTTAGTTTGCTTTGATGATAACTATGACCAGCCTGTCTAAGGAATATTAATTTTAAAAAATATTAGTAAAATATTATAGACTAATTGGATCTTGAAAGCATGATGGAAGTTTCTGTTTAAATAAATGACAAAGGAGTGAAGATTAAAATTTTAGGGAATATTATTATCTCATTCCTTTATTAATTATAAAAATTCATTTTTATTTCATTCGGATTGAAGGGATATATATATAGTAATTTTCTTAAATTTTAGAAATAATATATCAAAAACAAAGTGGCCTCAAGCTAATTTATTTTGAGAAATCAAATTTTTTTTTAAAATATAATAAAATATTATAATTTTTTTTAAAAAATAAATATTGAATTTTGAATTTTTATATAATTAAGTCATGGGGATAAAAAACAAAAAATTTATTTTAATTAATTCCAAAACCAAGAGAAGAGTTTCTGAAAATCGAATGGGAATAAATATTTTAATTCATATTTTATTATAGGAAGAATCAAATAACAAATCACAAATCGAAGAATAAATAACCACAATGTCATCTCACATTAATACAGGGTGAAAATCTTATATATTTTAACATTATATTTGATAATTATAAAGGGATCATTCTCAATTTATTCCCATTTTTAAAAGTCAATATATACTTGTTTTATATAATTCTCTTTTTCTAAATTCCTTGATATGATAAGCTTAAGGATTATAATCCAATTCAAGAAAAAATTGCCTAAAACAGCTGATATATTTTAACTATTCGTTTAATGACCCGTCATAACCCTAACACATAGCTCTCTAACCTTTAATCCCTACTCCTTACTTTCTATAACTTATGGGGCACATAATTATCTTCTTTTTCTCTTTTTCTTACCTATATTTCTTGTTCTTATTTTTACTTCATAATTTTCTATTATTTTCCTTTTTAAGTATTCTATATATTCTTTTTCCAGAGCTACAGTTTTTTGAAAGCCAATTCTGGTCTACAGACATGTTCTCAGCGGGTCTGGATCATAATTTTATTATGATTATTACCTAAGCTGGGTTCGGACCTTTGCAAAATGATTAAAATTAATTTCCCCTTAGTAGGCTTCTTTTGTAAATTCATTTCTATCTTAATCAAATCTTTTAATTGAATTTATTTCCTAGATCGGGCCCTTTAGGGAGGGGGTGAGGGTAGGAGGAGTTAGGGGTAGGGGCAATATATTCTTTAAACTATAGTAGGTGTAGAACTTGCTCAAACCACTGAAAAAATAGGTTAAGTGTCGGGTTCTATACAAATCATTAATATTTTATTTTATTTAAATCATTTGTAACGTTACAATTTTTTTAGTTTTTTAGGTTAAAATATATGATTATTCATTTTTACAAATCGAAAATTATATTTATTGAATAGTTGATTTAAAAAAAATCATTTATCTATTTGAATTGATAATTCTGATTTCTTTATAAAATTTCGAATGAAAAACCGAATTTGCAATTTTATATTTATCTTTAACCCCATGCCAATCTTTACGATAAATTTATTTTAACTATTAGGAAACAATCCCGCAAAAATTTTAAAAAAAATTTAAACAATTTTATAAATATTTGGAACTAAAGTTACTCTAAACATAAAACGCAGGTATTCCAGTGATAGGGATTCGCATGAAGCTTTGGAAGACGCCCATATAGCAGGTTAAAATTTATAAAAAATATATATTAAGAGAGTGATTTGAATTTCAAATATTAAGTGCTAGGAAAATAATGTATTTCAAAATATCCAGAAGTAATGAGAATTATTATTCAATTTATTTTAGAAAAGCTTAATTTAAAAAAATAGTCAGGAATGGAAGCATTATTAATTAACTCATGAATCCTATTAATTAGATAATGGAGCAGCGGTCAATCTTTCAAAGGATCCATCGAATAATAATCGACTTCATGGTTATGGTAAAATGTCTAATGATAAGAATAATAACATGGCTGATGATGTAATGCCCAACGATGACGATCACAATATTGATAAAAATAATGTTATTCATTATGATACCAACGATTCTGAAAGGCCGAAACCCAAAGATCTAGTTCATAATATTCCCCTAGAAAAAAAGGAAGTAAGTAAAGAAGATAGAATATCTGGGGTTCATGAGAATGCACCAGATGTTTCCAAAAGTGCCATAGCATCTTTGATACTAGGCTCTTTAGCGACTAGCCTAAATCTGGCTAGCAAACTTATGACCACTTCAGTAGGAGTGGTCCAAAAAAACATAGATTACCATAGGAAGGACGCTTCTAATTATGGGCACATACAAAGGTCAAAGAAATGGTGGGAATTCGTGCTTCTATTTTCTATTCTCACTGGCATAGAAGTTATACACGCCGTTGAAGCAATATATGTTAACCCCATGCTGCTCGCTATAGGAATACCAGCAACCTATGCCACAATGATATGGAGTTTCAGTCCAGTGCTAGGTTTAATCTCCGTACCTCTTTTAGGTTCACTCTCGGACAAATGTCGATGCACTATGGGCCGACGTCGTCCTTTCATAATTTTTTTTAGCGTGGGTATGATATTTGGCTTGATATTATTAGGATTCGGCCCTAATTTCAGCGTTTTGCTAGGCGATACGGAACTCAAAAATTCCAAAGATAGCTCGTTATACGCTGCCACTTCTCCAATACCGATGATGACAACACGGTCACCCTTAGTTGAAGGTAATATGAATATAACAAACATCCTAAATTCGCCCCTTTTAGCTTTGACAAAGACTCAACCTAGTAACAATGCTTCGGGCACTACAATGATCCCATATATTACTAATCTTACTGTAGTTCGAAACAAATCACCGTATCCGACTATAACTACCAGTGGGGCTATTATATTGCAAAGTGGCAACGAAGATATATCCTCTAACGAACCGTCGTACAAATATTTATTAATATTCATATGCGTAGGCGTAATAATAATGGATTACTCGGCGGATTCTGGCAGCTCTCCAGCCTTATCATATATGTTAGATATTACTCTCTCAGAACAACACACATTGGGACTCACCCTAGGTACTACCATGACAGGGACTGGTGGTCTATTAGGGTATTTGATTGGGTCTTTAGATTGGGAAAAATTATGGCCGAGTAAAGTGCTCAGAAATCAATTTCAAATCGTGTTCATAATAGCGCTGGGAATATTTATTATCACGGCTTTTCTAACTCTCACTAGTTTTAAGGAAATGCCATTATACTATGTTAAGGTTGACAAAGCTGAGTATGCGGAGAGAATGTCTATATCTCGTTCTTTGTATTATGCTAGTGATAGAAGTCACAAAAGAAAATATGGGCCACCTAGAATGCTATCACGCTCCTTTTGCCTGACCGATATGCATTACATGGATAATAAGTTACCTCACTATAAATCCAGCGAGCTCGCAGATTCCAGCAAGGATGGTGTTAATTTGAAGAAATTGTTTAAGTATCAGGATTTTCGCTTGAGTCTCCCCGATCTTGGATTCAAACCAAAAGACAACAAGAAATTTAATATGAGAATTGCACATAAAAAGAATAATTCAAACAAAAATATTACCACTTTAAATAATCTGCAAATTCCCACTGAAATTAATAAAAATGCAATTAATGGATCAACAATTATAGCTGACGAATTTATACACAACTTAAGTAAAACAACAAGCGAGTCTAAATCTCCCACGAGAAAAATTCACAATAACAATAGTAAAGTAGTATCTTTGTTACCACAAATAACATTAACTAGTGACGGAGGACAGGAATTACCGACAATTTTAGAAAACGATGAAATTGGCATCGATAAAAAAAGCCTTGATAAGGAGTCCAACTCGAAAATCTCCAGGAATAAAAAACCCAAACTATCTATCACCGGGGTCTTAACGAAATCGAAATTTCAAGATTTTATAATAGACAAGGGAATTGAGAAAATTAAATCCAACGATTCCCATCCTAATAAAGACGATCTTGACAATTTAGTAAAAGATAAGAGCTTGCATGATGAGAACAACCAAAATCTTCTTTCCGTTCAACATCCACCTCTACCTCTTAGCCTATCTCCAGTGGACAGTTGGGAAATATCGGCTTCTTTGCCCATGCAAAAAGAGGAGAATCTAGACTCGAGTGATACGGAAGACGAAGAGATGACCCTCAAGGAATACGTAATATCGATAGTGAAGCTGCCCAGACAAATGGCTATTCTATGCCTTACCCATTTGTTCTGCTGGATGGCTTTCCTATGTTTCGCGTCATACTTTTCAGATTTCGTAGGGCAAAGCGTTTTCAAAGGCTCTCCCACCGCTAGCCCTGGAAGTAACGAAAATCTTCTATACGAAATGGGTATACGATATGCTTGTATTTCTATGTTTTTGTACGCTCTTACCTGTATACTTTACTCCACCAGGATCAAAAGATTCGCCTCGAGAATCGGTTATTTTTGAAATTTTATGATTTTTAATTAGATTTTTATTTTTCATAATATTTGGTGCAATCTAACTAATACAAATAAGTTTTTCCCCCGATATAGTATGGAAATGAATTACTTTTACTGTTAAGGCTTTGTCATAAATGTTTGTTAGAACATTTTATCTACCAATAATAAATAGTTTTATACCCGTTGAATATATTCATATAAGAAAATTTCCCAAAATAATATAAACCTGGAAAACGTTTATGCACCTCTTACTAAAATTATATTTAAAAAGTTATAATAGAAAGATAATGTTTGATAGTAACGTAGTTATATATGTATTCCCATGCATTGAAACCATATATATTTGCAAAACTTTCATATTATTTAGTAAAATATACCTTAAAAATATTTATTTTTTTTCTATTAAATATTAAAATTGTTTCCTTTTCTCAGAATTTTTTTAAGATTTTACAAAAATAATGAATTATCTATGGTTCTAATTTCATTTGAAATGTTTTTTAATCTTGAGTTTTTCAGAACAGAATGCAAATAACCTTTTAGATAAAAAGCTACTAAAACTTCTTAGACCTGCAAATTTAGCTAGTTTGTATACCTACAATAAGTACATCCGGCGAAAGAAGAAGAGAAGAGAAGAGAAGAGGAAGAGAGAGAGAAGAGAAGAGAGAGAGAAGAGAAGAGAAGAGAAGAGAAGAGAAGAGAAGAGAAAGAGAAAGAAAGAAAGCCTCTTTATACCCCATTAATTAATCCAAACAAAATAATATTATTCGCGAAAATCTAGAATTATCTGACTCTGACCCGAGTAAAACCTAAATTTTCTTAATCGAGTTCGGAGGTCGAGTTGGAACTAAGTCCTCATTTATAGTAAACGCGTTTGGTTCAAGAGGTTCGTTATTTACAAAATCAAGCCAATAAATAAGTACAATTTATAATTGTGGAGCATTATGATGATAAAATTCAAGAAACAGATGTTGCGACGTGTATTTCAAAAATTATTAATATTAGCTTTAAAGGACGCACCGTAAACATAACGCGTTTACTACAAATTAGGCCTGAGAGTACCTAAATAAATTATATAAAAAAAATGCAATACATTGAAATGATAAATTAAATTCATTTTTTTACAATATGCGGAGATGCCGGTCAATCCTGAGGTACCGAATAATTCGGCAGGCCAATGAACGCTGATATAAAAAATTAAAAAAATTCTCTCCGAGCGAAGCTTCGACGTACAGGTCTAAATGTAATTAAATTATACCAGGGCTTTGGATGAGGTGATTTATTTATTAATAACCTTAAAAACAAAGACCATTAAATGGTATATTAAAATGTGTTTGAAAAGTATCAACAAAATTTATGTAAGATTAAAAATTTACAAAAAAAATGTTTCTCCTGTTTAAAAATATGGATATAGAATAAATACTATAGGTAATACTCAGCCGATGATTTGTAGGAAAATATTATATTTATTAAGATTTGTATTCTCTCTTGAGTCTTCTAAAATTCGTATTCTTTAACCATTATAAATAATTATTGTAAAAGTTTGTAAAAAAAAAATCATGTTTTAAATTAGGTGTTTTTAAAGAATAAGAATAGTAAATTATTCATTTTGTTGGAATTCGAATTATTTAATTTGAATAAAACGAATAATTCTACAAATTATTTCAATAATTTGTTTATTCGATTAATTATTTGAATAATTTGCTTATTCGGGCAATTTGTTCAAAATTTGTTTGATTCGAATCGAATTATTTGTGTAGTATTCGTTTTAAATCGAATTATTCGAATAGTTTGAACGTATAATTTGATCGAATATTCTAACTATTATAGTCATTAAAATGAATGTAACCAGTTACTTTTGAAATAATGTGACTAGTTACCTTTTTTAAAATACACTAGTTTTAATATATGGTGCTATTTCAGATATAAATTTCTTGCCAAATTCATTAGAATGAAAAATATTTTTAAAATATTTATACCCGCTCATCAGGCATGTTATTTACTTTAAATATTTCTTATTCATTCTTAAAATTTTACATGCCCTCCCGTTTATCGCCAATTTTCATGCACCCCGAAATATAATTAGATCAGTTCATCTAAAAGGTACTCTTGAATCCATTTTAAATATCAAATTCTCATCACTCACTTAGATGCAAGCCGTCCTTCCACCAATGCTAGGTGGTATATGTCTCCTTTCCCTCCATATCCTTAACCGTTTCAACTTTTTTATCCTCAGTTGCTAAATATCGACACATACTTGAAGACATGAATACTCTCGATATACATCATATGGCAGCTTTAGACTACTGGAGCAAAAATGCTCTAAGCAGCTCATATTCAAATTCGATAAGGCAAAATTTGTTATTGATATAGTATTCGTCGAATACATACACTTAAAAGCTATTAAAATGAAATCTCCATTGATTTTTCTCAACCTAAACCCAACCCCAAGTATACAGAATGACAATAATAGGACTCTTTTGCCAAATCAAATAATTCCAGCCTAAGCCATATGCCAGCTAGGTTACGAATGGTTAGAAGAAACAATACCTAAAATTTAGGCTTGTTATTAATCCACGAAGAACTTAGAATAGCTATCGGTCTTTAATTAGGCTGCAAAATCGTAACATCGACATCATGTGTCCTCTGTGAAACTCATATCGATAGCCTGAGCCAACACCCTTTACACTGTCTTTTTCAAAAGGCAGATTATTCAGGTACTATGCCATCAATTCGATCAAATATTGAGATTCACAAATATTCCCTCTACAACCGTCTGGCCTCAGCCCTATCATACCAGACCTAATGGGATGACCTTAGAGTCCCCTGGAATCAATGTATGCCCCTCATTGGCGTACGCAGCCGGGGGGGGCAGTGAGACAAATCCACCCCTCCCAAAGCCAAAAAATGTATTTTATTATATTTATTCATATCTCGTTCTTTTTAAATTTTTATATTATTACCTTTTTCATTTACTAATTTATTTTATCAATTAATTTCATTTTCAAGTTTTCCTTGGCGTAATATTTATCTATTATTTTTAAATTTCCCGGTATTATATTTTTTCACCATTTTCAAATTTCTAGTCATGGATATTAGACTTTTTTTAAAAAACACTGAATACAGTGAAAATCATACCAAAAGCAAAAAAGTATAGTATAATAAAAATATTTTTAGCAATTAAAACCCCTCCCATAATAGCAATTAATGAAAGAATTGTTGAAAGAATGATTGAGAGTCAGGATATAGAGCCATCTAAAGGTTAGTTATTCTAAAAATACATTTGGGCAGTTTTATAATAACTTAGCTGGTATTATTTAATAAATAATAGATACCTATGTAAATATTTTATTTAATAATAGATTTATATTCCACCCCTCAATTTTCAATATCCCCAAACTTTACGAAAGTTAAAATTTCAAAATAGCTATTTTACTAGATGGTTATGGCTAGCATACTCCATCCGAGACAGTGGAGCTTATTGCAAGATATGTGTCCTGTTTGGACCACGATATGCTGGCAGAAATCTAGTTAAGCATAACACTCTTGTTAAGACACCTTTTAACAAATACAAAGATGCGGGGTAAATTTTTGACAATCATCAGAAAACAAATTATCACAAAAGCTGTAAACTGATGATTTCGTCAAAAGAATCAATTCAAAGGGGGGATATGATTCCCATTTCATTACTTATTGATAAAAACAGGGTTAAAATTTATAAGAAAATAGATGTAAGATAAAAACTATTGAGGCTATTTTTTATTGTGGCTTGCAAGGCCTAGCAATACGTGGCCACAAGGATTCAGGAAGCTTAAATTTTAATAATAATGATAACGAAGGTAATTTTCGTGGACTTTTATAATTTAAAGCATTAGGAGATCCTGTATTAATGGAGAGCCTTAGTGGCATTAAAAATGCTACTTGAACCTTTTTCAGATGGTGATAGAAAAAAAATAAAATATTTGGCAGATTTTTATCATGAAGACGTAAATGTATCTCATTTTATTAGCTGAATGCCAACTATGGTATAAAAGATTAACTATGGTTGATATAGTCCCAAAAAATGCTATGGATGCTTCGCATCATTTCAAACTTAGATTATTTTCCCAATATATTGAAATTATTTTATATATATTAGCAACTCTTCCCATTAGTACTGCAACAAATGAGAGAACATTTTCTTCTTTAAGAAGATTAAAAACGTACCTAAGAAGTACAACTTCTGAAAGTAGATTGAATGGTCTGGCCCTTTTGAATATTCATAGGCATTTGACGCCAAGCACGGATGAGATAATTGAAAAATTAACTCAATCCCAACGAAGATTGTATTTTACATTATAAAAATATAATGTTTCTATAATATTTTTTGTGCAATCATTTTTTAATGTCTTATATATTTTTCTTTTATATAAAAAATATAATTATTCATATTTCCAACATTTAAATTTTTTATACTTTATATATAAATTTTAAAGGCTTAAAAAAATTGAAATAACTATTATGGGTTATTTATTTTATAGTCAATCATATACTGATTATATCCACTTAATATTTTATAATTCAGATTTATTTAAAGTATTTATATGCCGCCGGTTATATCCGTTTAATATTTTTTAATTCAAATTTATTTTTATATACCGGTTTATATAATTAATTTTTTATAATTCATATTAATTTAAATTGTATATTAGAAATAGTTATTAGTCCTAATAAATTTATACTTGATATTTTTAAATAACAATAATTTTATTTTAAAAAATTTTGATTATCCCCCCCCCCCCCCCCACCAAATTCCTGCGTACACGCATGATGCCCCTCGCTTGGGATTATACTTGTGTTTATCGTTTCTAAAATTATTAAAAACAATAAGGCGGTTACGATTAACCACAGCTAATCCAAAAGAGGGCTTTTACTTGACAAAGAAACAATCTATATTTGCCGATCCAATTGACCTAAATATTTTTTAAATAGTTTCCTCTTTAAATATTTTTTTAAAATGTATTTTTTATAAATATGGCATGTATATTTTCAATACTTATAAACAAAAATTTATCTTATTGTAATATTTTTTAATATTGAAATTGAAAATAAAATAAGCTAATAATTATTCTTTTAAAACATTTTTTTTTAAAATACACAATTAAACTTGTTTTAAATATTGAACGCAACTTGTATTTTATTGAAATATTTCATACACATTTAATATACCACTTAATGGCCTTTGTTTTGCTTCCTGTTCTAAATCTAAAACAAAAATCGCTAAAAATTGGGAATTTGGCTTATATCTCCTATAAAATTTTTTAAAGTAAATTTGAAATTAATATTAATAGATGCTAGGGTAGTAAACACTCTTTAAGTTGAGAATTTTAAAAAAATCGCTAAAACAAAAATCGCTGAAAATTCGGAATTTTTCTTATATCTCCTAGAAAAATTTTAAAGGAAATTTGAAATTAATATTGGTAGATGCTAAAATGTAAACACTTGTATTTAAGTCGAGTTACAAAAATGGCTAAAAATTGGGAATCTCGCTTATATCTCCTAGAAATTTTTTTTATAGTAAATTTGAAATTAATATTTTTTAAGGTATTAATAAATTAAACACCTCTATATAACTCCCTAATCAACGTTAGCCTTTTAGTTAAATAAAATCTTTAATTGTCAAAATATTAGTCTTTTTTTTTAATTTATGGAGGGGGAAAAGTAACATATATTTAAAATAATATATATATATATAATATTGGCATTTGGACGTTCTCCATTTTTAATTATTTATTACTTTCTTTTTTTTAATTAACATATTCTAACTATATTATTTTATTATTATATAAAAAAATAAAAACAAGGGGATGATATTGAAATGAGAAAATGCATTTAAATTTATTTTTTTTATAATGTGTCTCATATATAAAAATGTAAATGTATAATTTAATTATAGACCGACCTGTTATCGCTAAAAGAAATGTTAAAAATATATAGAGTTGTTATTGTTTAAAAATCAAAGATATAATTATATAAATTTTTTTTAAATTTATTATATCAATTACAATCATAAATAATATTTAAAAAAAATTTTTAACCAATGACTCTTGCCAATATAAATATATTTTAAATTATGGTTAATGGCAAAAAGTAAAACCAGAAATTTTAGAGGTGTATATTAATTATATAAATTTTAACAAAAAAGTGATGATAGCAAAAATAAAATTATATAATGAAAACGCAAAGTGCGATGGTGTGTAAATAAATTTTGTAGCAGACCTAGCCATTATTTAGGCACTATTATATAGGGGGTTTCCGTATAAATTTATTGGATGGGGGAGTGGGTTGGGTTTAAAATCTACTCCTTGCATGCAGGCTCACATTTTTTAAAATATGATTATAGGTATATAAATTTCAAGATTTGGGTAATAGATATCCAAACCTTTGAGCTCTCTATGTTCAAAATCTTTAGGCTTGAGTAATATTTTTCTGGATAAAAAATTGAGTTAGCCATTTTTAAAAACCGGCTCATTTAGGACCGTTTAGCAACACTACTAATATTGTGCATTAAATTCTCTCCATTTGCCCTAATTCTTAAACAGACAATTTACAACATGGAACATAAACTTAGCCATTATTACAATAATTTAAAATAAAGATATAATGTTAATTATATTAGTGATCTGCTAAGGGTCCCATAATTTAAACCCGATCCCATTTAGAGCATGTTTTTTTATTTGTTTCCGCCCGACCCGAAATTAAAATTATTTGTTCAATTTATTTAAATATATAAATTAATTCCTTTTCCAAAATATAGTTTTACATTTTTACACTGAACATAATGGAGTTTTTGATTATTTTAACAAACAAATGAATAATATTGGCTCTTTGTTTCTTGAAAGATTTCCCAAAATTTAAGCGTTCCATCCGGTCCCATTAAAAAAATATATTAGGCCCGACCCAACCCGAATCGATTAAAAAATAAATAGGCATGGCCCGAGCCTACTTTTGCAGATCTTTAATTTATATATCAATACAGAGCAAACCTCTTTCTCGTGATTAGCGAAGGTGCATAGAAAAATTAATTTCTGCATGGTCGCCATAAATGACTACTTTTCAAAAATGAGTTCTAAAACTAATGCCTATTATTAGTATAATGCCTTTTTGAAATTACTTGCCAACAAAAAAAATTTGCCCCCCGAAACATATTTATTCACTTTTAAAAATTATCAGGTACGAAAAGAGTGTATATTTTCGGAATTTCTTACTATTGCGTATCGATGGCCATCTTAGGATTCGCCCCGTATAAAGCAGCCGTAATGATTTTAGCGCCAGCAGCTGGCATTCTTCAAGCTTCCTTGCTCAGCATACCATTCATTTTCATTTCGCTATACCACAAAAGAGAAATAGTATACATAATGATAACTAATTTTTTTTTATAAAAATTTCCAAAAAATTAATAAAATAATTTTTGGTTGTTTATTAATATTTGCAATTAATAACATGTTTAAATATTGATTATTTACTGAGAGAAATTAGGTTCGGATTTTCTTTATAATATTCAAAATAAAATATACATCATTATTCTTTTCTTTTTTCAAAAATTTCAATAGTTCAATCCTAAACATCTGGACAAAAAAGATGAAGAAAAACATACCAACCAAACTAATTTACCACAATCTAACGGGCAAAAAAATGAAAATGTCAATCAAAAAAAGAATCCTGTATATAAAAAAAGAGGCATTGGGACCGATGTAGCTATAGTAAGTAGCATGGTCTTTTGGGCGCAACTCATAGTTTCATTGACTTTGGGACACATGATAGACGCGCTAAATACTACACTGGTCATCCCGTTTTATGGGTGCGGTCTGAGTGCTTTAGCCATTATTTGTTCGCTATGGGTAACAGATTGCAAATGAGGAAATATTTTTTTTCCATATGTAAACAGGAATAAAATCATTTTGTATTTGGTTAAAGCGGGATTGGTTTTAGTCGTTAATCCTTAATATTTCGTTTTTTATTGACTCAAACTGTTCTTCCCCAGAAACATCGTGTTTTAAAAATAATGTCAATTGGTCTGTATATTTTTTCCATCGACTTTATATCGTATTATAATGATTCATTTAATGATTCACAAAGTGTTTAAGTAATATATGCATGTAAGTGATCAATGTTATTTTTACCTTTAAATCTATTTTTTGAGCGCGTTTTTTTAAATTTAAAGAATAAAATTGCTGAAAATATATTCCCAGAATATTGTAGAAAATCTACTTATTTTTAGAAAAATTTTACCATGAACTTAAGTGTTCTAATATAATTTATACTAATTTTTCCTTAGCATTTTAAAAGATTAAAAAGTTAATAATAAATTTGTCAAAAATTTATAGGGTTGACTATACTGGAAAAAATGGCTCGCAAATCAAATTTTACCAATTAAAAAAATGCACTCAAAAAATGATTTAAAGTTTCAAAAATAACACATTTATGCTAACAAATATTATATGAATATAATTTTTTTATATATATCCCAAACAAATAATTTATTTTGAACGCATGCAGCAAATATTTTAAAAATTTTTTATTAAAAACAATAGTAATGCAACACAATCCTTTTAAAAAGAATGCTATTTTTAATATATTTAAGTCTTCTTTTTTGTGTGTATAGTATTATATGAATTGAATGAATAAAATCAAATGATCTCTTAAAACTGCAATGTATTTTAAATGCAGAAATAAAGCCTAATCTTAAAACCTAGCGAAGCTTAAAATTTATAAATATTTTGAATTCATCAAGATGTGCTTTTCTCTGTAAAATAATAAAAAATTGAGGGAGATGATTCATACTTTACTTATATCGGCTCAATTCTAGGGGTGTAATTATATGTATCTTTTTCTCCGTTTAATGGCAATTTTCCAGGTTTACTCGACAGGTTCTTTTGCATATAGACTTCAAAATCTAAAAAAAAATATTTTATAAAGCTATTAACCCGTATGGCATTTATAAGTGTTGTATTTTATGGCTTCGCAAAAAGTTATATAGAAATTTTATTTTGTCCTAAATAAAATCTTGCAATGTTTGTTAGGTTAAAACGGTTTTAACCTAATCGTTTCTTGTGAAAACTTTTTATATTTTTGAGGCAATATTGTTCATAATAAATAAATAAATTTATTATGAAAAAATATGTTAAATTAAAGTGTTAAAATTATTTAAACGATAACTATTTATACATAATTATAGACCCATAAATTTTCTAAGATAATATGTATTATTAATGTTCAAAAAATTATCCTCGAAAGGAAGGGCAGATTTCGGAACAGATGTAGGTGTGAATATGTCCATATTTACCTCAATTATAGATTTCAATTCATTTGGGAAAAATTTTAATGAAATAATTGATTAGATATTTCGATTCGTTATTCAACGATATTTGTCACTATTTACACTTTAAATTAATCTGTTCAAACAATTTATTTCTAATAAGATCACATAATATTGTTTCATTCTTTTTATTTGAACAAGGTAATTTATTACCTTAAAAAAAAATTATAAGTATTAAAAATTATTTCATGATTTTTGAGGTATTATTATATATATATACACAAATATATAATAAAATACAAATATTGACTAATAATAGCACACAAAAAAAGTATATCATATTATATGCTATACATTATAATTGTATCGTAATCGATTATAATATTATCTAAAATGTTTGATTATTTAGGTCAAAACCTTTTTGAGGTTAAAAAAAAATTTGTCTAAATAATTATATATAAATTTTTTTGTATATAAAAACTAAAAATATGTAAAATTTTATAATGCTAAATGAAATAATGGACGGGTTAAGGTTAATTAAATTAATAAAAAAAATATATACATACTATAAAAAAAATAAATGATTTATTTCTTATTCAAAAAAATTTGTTCATCTAAACTTATTATTTAAAATTATATTTAAAAAAAAGTTGTACATGTTTTTAGCCTTGGAAATTTTAAATGTAAAATTTGAGACACATTCAAAACAAACAAATAATCAAAAATGAATATTTAAAAAGAAAAGAGATGGCTGAAAATATTTTTTCCATTTTGACTTATAATTTTAAATGAAAAATTCTCCCCTCCCTTCTTCAATTAAGCAGCTTCAATTTTTCCTCTCAGAGTTTTTTTAGTGGTTTGAGCGTCAGCGTAAAATTTCCTAATGCCATCGCTGAGCTTCTCTACAGCCATCCTGTCTTGGTTGTGCTCGAATCGAAAGGTTTTCTCGTCCATGGCCCGCTCAAATTTACGAATGTTCTGGTCAAGTTTGCCTATAAACAAATATTTAAGGCATATTACTTTTTTAAAAAATAAGAATTTTTTTACCACATCTTAAATTCCCACCCTACCATCCAAAATTTCAATACATCCCATAAATTCTTTAAAATACGATACACTTTTTCAATAAAACCTTAACCCATCACTACAAATGTGAGGTAAATCATACCCCAAGACTTTTATATAAAAAAAAACCTGAAGATATTTTGACCTGGGTTTTGTAGTAGTTTAATAATAAAGAATATATCTATCAATTATCAAGTTTACTGTTCTGATATTTTTTAAAATATTTACAATTTGTTGAGCTAGGGGTGTAGTAAAGGTCCCACCTTTGTATTTTGGTAATTTTTTTTATATAAATTAATATGATTATATATTACAAACTCATATAAAAAATAGAATATTTATTTCTTTGGTGACCCAAAATTTTATATTAATATTTTTTCTCGTGGAGTAAAATGTTATAAAATGGGCATATGAAAAATTTATTTTCACCTAGCTCTGGAAGTAATTTATTTTCCTTATAATTTCTATGTAATATTTGATATATTTATATAAATGAAGCAGTTTGTGAGTCAAGTGATTATTATTATATAATAGAAATCACAATTGGGAAACGAAAGAAAATAATATATAGTGATGAGTGAGAAGATAAATATTAATAATTTACAGCAAAATATGCTAGCCTCTAAGTTATATAAAAATATTTAAAGATGACAAACCCAAATGGACTAAAATATTTAGGTAAAGATGGCAAAACCAAATTGGATAAGGAATGCATTCCTTCCTCAAAAAGGAAAGTAATCACATAATATAATTTCTTGTTTGTTGGGGATTAACAAGTAAAATCACCATTATAAAGCTTCATTTATTTATCTCAGCTACTTTTAAAATACACAAATCAAAAGATTGGAGCTCCTTAAAAAGATGACTATTTATCATGCTAAAATTGATGAAAGTGAATTTAATGCCCTGGTGAGTTTGTTAATGATAGCAGGTGTATATAAATCTAGTTATCAAAATATAAGAGAATTATGGAGTAAGGATGAATTTGGGATGAAAATATTTAGATATACAATGAATGTAAATAGATTCCAATTTCAGTTAAAAGTTCTGCGATTTGATGCTATGAATAGAATATGAGGAAAACAAACGATAAAACCACATATTTAAATCAATAATTCTATGAATATAAATAGATCCAAAATTATTAAATCACTAGTCATGGAACTCATAACTCCATATATGAGAAATGGATATGAGAATCCTCGTGTAGGTAGATTATTACGAGACAACATTGGGGATATTCTCTACTTAAATGATGGTATATTCAACTAATAAAAAGGGAAGATGTTATGGTTAGTCAAAGGTGAATACAATATATTGTTCGAAATTTATTGTATAGATAACATGCGTATATCTGGTCGTAAATTTTATTACAGATGCATGAAATTTGATGCTTAATATTTTTTTTGATATTTGATGCATTTTTTAAAATAAAATTCATGTAATAATCATTATTCAACATTGAATTAATAAAATATATTATAAAATTTGCATTTTTTAAAATTTTCTTGGTGACAATACTATAATTAAAGAAATCTCAAAAAAAAATTCACCAACTTTAAGAAAATTTGAATAACTTTTTTTGGGGGGAAAAAATATAAATTTTGTATTTATTATCTTATATAATTTTTAATATATATATTCAAAATTTTAAAATGTCGTTCTGAGATATATCTAATCAAAATTTGTAGTAAAATAGACCCCAACTTTGTAGTTTTTTCTATCTTTGTAGTGAAGGGTTAAAAGGTAATGCAGATTACCTTTTTAGTACTTTCTTATAGCAATCGTTATAGGATTTTAATATTCAAATAATATCATGCAAGCCTCAAAATTTTATTAGATATCCAAACATTTCTGGCATCTGTGATGAAAATCTCCAGGTTTATGCAATATTTTATAGAAAATATAAAATATTGGATAAGTGTATTTTTAAAAAATTGAATCGTTTAACAACTCTACAACATGGTATAAAAGAATTTTTAAAAAAGCACGTTTTAAAATTATTATACCTTTGTTAGGATCCAAATATAATTCTAGTTTGTCCTTCTTCTCCGCTAGCTCGGCCAAGAGTTTAGGGCTTGATTTATTCATTAAAAATAAAATAAATTGATTAGAAAAAATCAACTAATAGGACTGGGATTAGTGTGTAAGATGTGGCTAGGATTAGATAAGAAATAAATTATTTTTTTTGACTCTATTCGTGAATCAAATAAATGATATCTCTTTAAATAATAAAAACGACAATACGAATTAAAACATTTCTCAAAGTTTCCACACGCTGGCTGTGCTGATTAGATATAAAATATCCTCCCCTCCCCCAACTTGCGTATTTTGCTCCCTTAAAAACAAATATTAAGATCTTCATATTATTTAAAGCTGTCCAATATTGTCCCAATATAATTAATAAAAAAACAAGAGTAAATTATGGTATAACCTGATAGTTAGTAAATCGCAACCACAAAGTTGTTCTATCTGTTGTATATTACGGAACGAAGCCCCCATAATTACAGTTTTGTAACCAAATTTTTTGTAGTAATTGTAGATTTTGGTGACACTTTTCACGCCTAAAGGTTAGTAATAAATTTTTTTCAAAAAAATAAAATAATTTGATTACAAATTAATTCGTTAGCTTTCTTATAATATTTTTTTTGCGATCATTTTTAAACTACATATTTCGCAAAATTTGAAAACAATATAAACAGATTTTTAAATTTGAAAAATTATCTGATGGGTACATCAATGTTATAATAATTATTTAATCAAATTTATAAAATTCACTATTCTTTTATTTCTAATATATATTTCAAAGACCTGCAAGCACGGCCCTAAATCTGGCCTTTATTTTAATTTTTTTAAATATGCCCAGGCCAGGCCCGATTTTTTTAAAATCCTCTCGTTCTAAATTCACCAAATTGTGTATGAATTATAATCAATTTATATTCTTTATTAATATTATTAAATGTACATGTCCAAATTTAATCACTAAAGGTAGTTAGGATTTTCTAAAGCTTAAATCACGGAATTATATGTTTTCCGTACATTATTTTAAATAAATATGAGTTTATCATTGATGATTATAGTATCATCATCTATAATATCTCGAAAGTTCAAATGGAAAGCCCCCAATCTGCCGTTGTAAATATTTTTTTTTTATCTTCTTTCCCTTTACTACAGTGTTGCACAGATTTAATTCAAATTTCAAAATAAAGTAATTTAAATTGACTCATGAACGCTAATGTCAACATTTAAGATTTTAATATTAAAATATTTTAATTTTTAAAAATTTCCAATAAAATCTTTTTTTTATTTGTCAGCATTTTCTTAAAATAAAAATGTGATGTCCAACTGTTTTAAATTAACGAATACAAAGTAAATTTACCGGGGTCATCTTTAGGTTCAAACGTTTTCTGGTCCGTATTTTCGACATACCAATCGTATATCCTTCCAACAAAAGGGGAAATCAGAGTAACGCCCGCTTCCGCGCATGCTACTGCCTGTAAAATTAAATAAATATTTTGTAACATTTTTTTTAAAAAATATATATAAAATAAGAATCATTATATTTTTTAACATAAGGACACAAGAAATAAAATCACCGTATTCCTTAAAAAAAATAACCAATTTTATTTTGATATTGTAACAAAAAAATGAATATTACTTGGGCAAACGAAAACAAGAGTGTCATGTTGCAATGAATTCCGTGTTCTGACTCAAGAACCCTTTATAAAAAAGGAGTAAGAATTAGTAAAAAGCCCATAATATCTTGATGGGGTTTTAAGGAGCCTTCTTAAGCCTAAATTCACAGTTTTTCGCAAATTCGCAGTGAAGAAAGATTTGGTATTCTTTACCACGAATTCGTGATAACTGTGAATTCAAAGGTGATTGGTTATTAATCATTGACTAGATAACATTTAGTTGTACCCGATTACACATTAGTGTTTTTAAACGGCTCGATTCCACCTATTTCAAATTAATATTTTTAGCCAAAACATTATTACACAAACCTCGACATGATATTTTTTGGCTAGCCATTTTAAAAAAAATTAAGCCATGAATCAATTTTCCAGTCTGACCTTATTTTCTATATTTTGGTTAAGTGAGATTTTAAGTGGCTTCTCCTTCAAATTTTATGGGAAGGTTTGATACACTATTTAATTTTATTTTTAAAAAATTTGTAGATTAACTAAAAGAACCTCCACCTCCCTTCATTAAAAATAGCTCTACAGTTTCGAGACTGACCATTTTTATCCCATAATAAGAAATATTTGGGTTCAGACACATTTAAAAAGCGGAGACTTTGTACCCTTAATTTTATTTTGGTGTAAAATATGTTTAATATTGGGGCCAAGGTAGGTCAAATCATTTTTATCTGAAGAAATATATAGAATTGACATAATATTCTTTATAAAATAAATTATAATAATAGAGAATAAGAATATAAATTAACATATCTTGATTGATTCAATATTAATTAGATTAACAATCTTGACTGAAAATTTAAATTAAAATAAAGGAATTTGGTGGTTGATCTGATATAAAAACTTAGTAAATTATTTCTAAAATTTTAAAAATAAATAAAAATAATTATATAATACAATAAAATGTTTTTTTCCACATGTTTTAAAAAAATTTTTAAGGAACGAGTACCGTTTGCTTTACCTTCTTCTTCTTCTTCTTCTCCGTTTTATGGCGATTTCCAGGTTTACCTGGGTAGGCCAGTTTTCCCTCTGATTTTTCTTTTCCATTTTTGACGGTCCTGAGCATCAATACTTGTAAGATTCAAGCTTCTCATATCCGCCGCTATCACATTTGTCCACGTCATCTTGGGTCTTCCTCTAGGTCTTGATCCTCCTACTTCCATCATTGTGCATCTCTTTACCCAGTCATCTCTTGTCATACGTTCCACATGCCCAAACCATCTTAGTCTATTTCGTCGCATTACCATACCAATCATTTCTATACCTAATCTTGCTCGCAATTCCTTGCTAGTTTTTCTCTCTCTCAGAGATACCCCACACATCCATCTAACCATCCTCATCTCTGTTCTTTCTAATTTGGCTTCGTGAATTGCTTTTATTGCCCATGTTTCACCGCCATAAACTAAACAACTCCTCACGCAGCTTACGTAAACTTTCCCCTTTAACTTCAGAGAAACTTTTTTATTTGTAAGAATAGATGACATCTCTCTGAACTTCTTCCAAGCTTGTTTACCATTAATCAAAAAAAACGCTGCCATTATTTGTTATCTACAGAAGGGAATGAATGGAGTTCCTTTACTTGAAAAATGGTAACGCCATTAGTAATGACGTTACTTTACAGCACTAGTTTATTATGAACCATACTCCACTTCCCTCTCTGCAAACACCCATAAATACCATCACGAAAATGTAAGATCGATGGACAAGTATGGATATTTAAATTATATGAAAATATATCCCAATCTAGAGACTAATTCCATGATTCTCAGTTTATAGCCAATAAAATGAGTATTACAAAGAACTGATCTTACAAGTACTCTTGATTAGATTTTATCTTAAAAATAAAATTTCCAGCCAGAAATAATTATGGGCCAAGTCAAAAAATTTTAGAATTTACCACCTCATAATAGATAAGCAGTATGGTGGCACATTTAAAAAATTTTATTAAAAGAAATTAATATAAAATTCAAGGTATTTTTATATAATTTATTTGTGCATTTTTCGTTTCACCATTGTTATTAATGTTCCTAATTCTAATCTATATAACTAAAAAAATTTTAGCTTAAAAGGGGGGGGGGGTGTTATTCTGAAAATCTGAATAAAAAATAATTGTTTTAAATAAAATTGAGCACCCTGAGATTGAGGCTGTAACACCAATAAGTTAGATCTATTTAAAATTCAATTGTTTATAAATATTGCTCAATAATCTTTAAGTTTGCTTTTAATATTTTTACCCTTCTAATTTATAATAATTTACAATAGGGAGTAATTTGTTTGTATATTGTTTTTTAAAAAAAAATTCATTATTAATACTTGGCTGCTTGGATGCCTTCCCAAGTAGAAGATAGTTTGATCAAGATTCTTTCCTTATCAACACCTTGAGATTCGTACAATTTGATAAGCCTAATAGCTTTTGCTATTTGGCCCTCTTTGTCAAAAGATAACCTTTTAGTTTGTGAACATAAAGGTAAAATAATTAAAATAAAACTTAGCTTTTTTAATGCAAAAAAGTAGCATAAAAAATAGTATTATAAAGAATTGATTATTTTTAAAAATAAATTTCACATTTCCCAAATAATGTGTTGGATCCCAAAATAATCCATAGGTTTTTATAAAAAATTAAAAATTGATGAAATAAGTTAGGATTATTAATATACCTAGCATCAACTTCAGTTGAAACTCTTCCTGGTATAATTTTTAAAATTTCTTTTCCAAAATTTATATACAATTTTTCCATTCCCAATTCAACTTGTTCATCAATGTTTCTATAAATAAATATAAATTCTAAATTGAGGTCAAATTTAAATTACTTTGAACTTTGCTTAGCATATTGAATAGCATCATCAAGTAAATGCTGATAATTTTTATTTTCTATAGCTGCAAGCAACAAAGATGGATTAGTTGTAGCATCTTGTGGTTTGAATTGCTTAATTTCTAATAGCAAGTTTCATAAAATGAATATTTAATTATATACAATTTCTTATTATTTGGTATATTTTATATAACTTAAGACATAATAATATAAGGATTCAAAATTTTGGCAATAATTAAGATTTAAAAAAAATGAAGTTAAACTTTCAATATCTCCAGTATCAGCAACAACGATAGTGTGTTGCTTTAGTTGTTCAAGAGCATTCATTTTAATGCAATATATTGTTTCGAGGTATTAAATTAAAAATATTAAAATATTTTGGAATTTTTATGATTGGGTAAATTATAAAATGGCTTATTAAGTAATTGATGCGTCAAACTTTTTAGTGATGAGTCATTTAACCTAAAATATTCAATTTTAGGTCTCCTGACTGATAATTATAATGGGTTCCCTATTAACGCTTGTTATTAACTGAAATCATCTAGGAAATCAAGCTAAAGAAGTCTAAAATAAGAAATTCTAAATTTTAGGTACAGTAAAAAAATAAAGAATATTTTAAAATGCTTGTTCCTAATTGAATTTGAGCCAACTGGGACCGTCATTTCTCTAAAATAAGAATGATTCTGAGCATATTGGTGGTATCCGATAATCAATATTTATTTAAATTATTATCAAAATAGAACTAAAGATAAAATTAATACCGATAAAAAATTTGTCCATAAATATATTAAAAATCTATCAGCTGTTAAATTGTGTTTGATGATATCTCACAATAAATGCGTCCTCTTCATCATAGTTAGGGCGAATTCACGATAAGTATACAAAATTGAATTTATATTTATTACTTAACAGCGATTTTGCGCACACTTTGAAAGCAAGGAATAATCGACTTAAAAACATTGGTGGCCATATTTTTAATATCGACCAATCAGAAAGATGTTTTGATAATCATTTCTATAATCTTTAGCCTAGCCATTAATCACAGTTCTATTAAAAAATGAATGCAATAAAAAATTTAGGTCATTCCATTATTAACAACCTACCACATGCCAATAAGGTACAATTAAACCATATAGGACATTGTATGAGAAAAAAAACTTAAATATCTTTATTACCCTTACTGCAATTTATTGATTTTAATATAATTTTGTTTAATAATTAGCTGCTATTGTGTGATGCTGGTTCCAAATGTCAAAATATGATTGGGAAACATTTGGTTAAATATTCTTCACATAAAACTTCACTTAATCAGCAAAATAAATCTGAAAAAAACAAAGTTGTTATTGATCATTCTAAGAAAAGTCAATTTATATTTGATAGAGAAGATAAATATGGTGCACATAACTATCACCCATTGCCAGTTGCTCTAAAAAGGGGCCAAGGTAATTATCTTAAAAAATTCCTATTTTTGTTCAGCAATTAAATATAGCTTTCTCAATTTATTCTCTATATAATAGAATTTTTTTTATAATTAGAGGTATAATATGAGCCCAGGGCTCTTGAGTTTAGTGGCCTTATCCCCCAATTACTTAAACCTTTAAAAAAAATCATAAAATATGCTAATTTAATATTTTATCAATAGCTTCTATTTATTTTTAAAATTATTGATACATAAAGTATTTCCTAATTTTAATATATAGTTTAATAAATGTTAGGAGTACCTGGCATGTTTCTATCCATAAAGGGTAATTAGAGGTCTACAAAAGGCAAAATTTTCAGACCTGGTTGGGATTTAGTTTTTGCTTGGTCTGGCCAAATTTACTTACCCTGGCCTGGTTTCAATTTTTTATTAAATTGGGATTGGTTTATAAAATCTAGGCCTGGTCTTTTAAAATTCTTGCCTATTTTATGTAGAAGGCCTAACCAAAAATATTTAACTTTTTTTACTTTGTCAAGCCTGGCAGCCCATTTATTTTTTTGCCTAGCCCAGCCCAAATTTTTTTAACATTACCCACAAATAAAAGTACATTGGACAAAAACTTTTGAATTTTCAATGAAATTTTTTTAAAATACCCTTTTTATGCATTAAAAAATATTTATCAAAAATTGTGGTATTTTAATCATTATCTCGTCTAGTATATATGTCAAGTGATTGCACTTTTATCATACATCACAAATTAGTATAAAAATAAATAAAACAAAATATACAATATATTATAAATTAAATAAATAACAGAATTTTGTAATACTAAGTATAATTTATATGATATCTATCCTTTTAAATTTTTAATTCACTATTAAATGCATAAGAAATATTTTAGTGGCCTAAAAAATTGTCTAATTTTGGTGTCCCAATGCTACTTCCTCACCCACTTCCCTATTTATATGAGCCTATGTGATGCTCATATTATTAGGAAAAGAAGAAGTTATGTATCATAAGATTTACAATTGCAATAATTACATTAAGATAATAATTTTATCTTAACTTATTAAGAGTATTAATCAATATTTTCAATTTTACCATTCTCTACAAATTTTCCCAAAAGTGAGTTACTTTAAAATGGTCTAAATACTTTAAAGTGTTCACATCAAATCTATGGTCATTTTTTAAAAATAACATTTATACACATTAATTGGATTATATTCTTATCACAAAATTAAAAATCAATCATGCAGAAATGAAATAAAGATGTTTCAGAAATATTTTTGCTTCAGCAACTTGCAATTAACTAACTTTATGTGCTTTTTCAAAATATTGCAAATTTTTTAAAATATTTATATAAAATAATAAAAATCAAATTAGTTTAATTTCAAATTTATTTTGACAATGAATCATGTTCTTTAATTTCAAAAACTCAATTTTTTTTGAATAAATTAATAATTTTTTCCCCATTTTCAAATTCTGTAATATAGCATGATAGGAAACAATTGAAATGTTGCATCATTATTTTTAGATAATTATTTTTTCTATTATTTAAAAAAAGAAGTAAGTTTTAATTTTCCTTATGGCATTTCATATTTACTAAATTATCGGAATTTAAAATATACATGAAAAGTTTACAAGATTTTATTAAAGTATTAGATCGGGGTCAATGGGCTATTTTTGAAGAATATCCTGTTCACGTTTTTTGGTAGGGTTGTTAAAAAGCCTGATTCGGGTTGTTTTTAAAAACCGACCAATTAAAATTTTAGCCAAAATTATTAAGCAAGCCTCGAGATTCGGTAAATAGAGGTCCTAACCTTTCAGCCATATTTGTGCAAAATCTCCAGTTTTACTTAATGTTCTTTTGGTCAAAATCTTTTTAAAAATCGACCCAATCGGGCTTTTTAACAATCCTATTGTTTTTGGTTATTTTATGATTCTGTATATAAAATTATGTATTTTTTTTATACACGGTTCTTCCTTAATAATAAATGAATAAAAGTATCAAAGTTTAATTTATTTGTAACTTTCAAATATAAATGGGGAATTATTCATATAAGAACATTGTTTAGAATATCTAAAAATGTGACATTAAAAATGTTTAACGAGACACATTCAGAATGAATATTGTTCATAAAATGAGATTATTAACTTTTGTGGAGTAAAAAAAGAAGCAAAATATACTTAAATTCGTGATGACGCACCACATATCGCCTTGGCCATGAGAAGCGGATAATTTAAACGTTTATGTTATTCTTAATTTAGAGTTATATTTTTTTACATAATAAATATTTTTGTTAAATTACGTAATAACTAATACGGTTTATCTAAGTTTTTATTCTAAAAAATCGTCTCAATCTTTAGGCCTAGGCTTAACCTAGAGGTTTTTAGGTCAATTTATATAGGATGTAAGCTTGGGTAAGCTGTATCGAGTGGATAAAGTGGGTAATATAACAAAACTAGAAAATATACTAAATTTTATGAAATTTGTTTGGAGATAGACGGTAAAACAATCTAAATATCGGTTATCGGATCGGTTTTTAGACAGTATCTGTGAATAATTTATGGATCAACATAGTCCGAATTGCAACAAATATACTTTCAAAAAATCTTTGATAGAAAAATTTATAATGAAACTCATCAAATGCATTTAAAAAACGAAATAATATTTTTTGATGAAATCTTTATCACATCTATATACTACCAAAGGATATTAATACTAACTGAAAATTCATTCATTTAAAATGCATCGAAAGTGCACATACATTGAATGGCGACTATTACAGCCTATATATTGGCAGCAGCTGACTTTAATGTAAGCACATTTCTAATAAGTCGTTTGCCTAGTGTGGTAAACATGCTTTAGTATGTGTTTTTCTTTATTATTACTCATATTCTTTAAATTGATATTGTTTTTTTTAATATTGTTTTTTTTTAATATTATAATTTTGTAAATATTATTTTTCATCAATATTTGTTTTTATCAATATTATTTTTTTTTATTATTTATGTGGGTTATAAAAACCCTGAAAAAGAAGAATTTGTTATCATATTTTTATTATATTTTCTTTGTGGAAATAAATATATTATATCAATAAAGTAAGTATATTATATCAATAAAGTAAGTATATTATATCAATAAAGTATATTATATCAATAAAGTATATTATATCGATATCTAAGAAATTTGAAAATATCAAAGTATATAAAAATAAGAAATTATATATAAAAATAAGAAATTGGTGCCGTGATAAACACTAGAACCTGGAAGTTAATTGCGGAGAGATTTACATATATTTTTAAGCAAAAAAAAAAGCGCTATTAAGTTAAAACGGTAAAGCGTTGATAAATTTTCAAATATTGTCAAGCGAAAAAAAGCTCTGACATAATAAGTTAAAACGGTAAAGCGTTGATAAATTGTCAGATATTGTCAAAGCGAAAAAAGCGCTGACATAATAAATTAAAACGGTAAAGCGTTGATAAATTTTCAGATATTGTCAAAGCGAAAAAGCGCTTACACAATAAGTTAAAACGGTAAAGCGTTGATAAATTTTCAGATATTGTCAAAGCGAAAAAGCGCTTACACAATAAGTTAAAACGGTAGCGTTGATAAATTTTCAAATATTGTCAAAGCGAAAAAAGCGCTGACATAATAAGTTAAAACGGTAAAGCGTTAAATTTTCAGATATTGTCAAAACGGAAAAAGCGCTAATACAAATAAAAGTGAAACGAATAACCGCTGTGAAATTTACAAGAATTAGTAAGGCGGAAAGAGCGTTAAAACAAATAAAATTGAGGCTAATAAAACGCTGTAGATTTGTAAAAATTTTTAAAACTAATAAAGCGCTGTTACAAAGGAAATTGAAACGAATCGGGAGATTCGCAAATATTTTTAAAGCGAGTAAAGCGCTATTTAAAAAAAAATAAATATAATTCAAATTTCCTCTTACGGCTCTTGAAATAATTGCTCCAACTCATCGGCCGATAGATCAACCATCGGCCATTCTCCAAACAATTCTCCTACATCATCCGAAAGAGGGGCCTGTTCCTGGGACGGTCCTATCACCGCCACTGGTCGCTCCACTTCCAGGGTTACGTGTTGCTCAACTCTTGCCGTTCCACTCATTGTTGTGGGGTTTCCGCTCTTGTCACCGCAGGTAACACGGTCCGAACGGGCCAGGCTCCTCGAAATCGTTTGTACCGCGAATCGAGACCCATTCTCAGATCCCCGCGAAGAAGGCAAATAGCGCCATTTTTAATGATCAACGGAAGGGGGCGGGAGTCCGAATTGCCTGAACCCAGTAATTCAGACAGGCGCACGATGAGGAATGTGAGATTATGCTTCATCTGTGGAGCCCGAGGCCACTTGCAAGTTCTATGCCCCCGTGGGCCTCGCCATGCTTTTGTGAGAAGGTTTGATGACAGAAGAAATTTCATTGAAGCAAGGGATGAAAATGATAGTGGGAAGCAGAGACGAGGAGCCTGGCCCGTTCGGACCGTGTTACCTGCGGTGACAAGAGCGGAAAACCCACAAACAATGAGTGGAACGGCAAGAGTTGAGCAACACGTAACCCTGGAAGTGGAGCGACCAGTGGCGGTGATAGGACCGTCCCAGGAACAGGCCCCCCTTTCGGATGATGTAGGAGAATTGTTTGGAGAATGGCCGATGGTTGATCTATCGGCCGATGAGTTGGAGCATTTATTTCAAGAGCCGTAAGAGGAAATTTAAATTATGTTTATTTTATTTTTTAAAAAAAGAAACGAGATATGATTTTTTCGCGTAAGTTGATTTTTTTTATGGGGGATATGTGGTAAACATGCTTTAGTATGTGTTTTTCTTTATTATTACTCATATTCTTTAAATCGATATTGTTTTTTTTAATATTATAATTTTGTAAATATTATTTTTCATCAATATTATTTTTTTTTATTATTTATGTGGGTTATAAAAACCCTGAAAAAGAAGAATTTGTTATCATATTTTTATTATATTTTCTATGTGGAAATAAATATATTATA